TCATATTGTGCAGCCCTGGCACTGAAACACATTCACACAGATAAGTGTACTATCTTTCAGATCCATAAGCGTAATCTGGACAACCTCTGGATTTCCAGTTCTGCTGGGGAGAGGGCATGCTGCTGCATGGACATCATGCTAGTAGGCACAAAATCTTTAACTGTAGGAAAGAAGAAATAACGACATTGTCCCCCATTATAGCTACAGCATGCATATTTAGCACAAGCAAGGATTTGTGATTGCATGATTTGTATTTGCATGATATGCCTGTGGCAGTGGAAGAGCCACAAAGCAAGACACACTGATTGATTTTTCCACTCCACCATGCTTCCCCAGGCTCAGTAAGCAACAAACCTGATGTGGTCTTGCTACTTGGTGATTTTGCAGACATTGCCTTTTTTGGTTTGTGAGGTGGAACTTTATTCTGCTGGAGAGACACACAAAGAACTTGGTCAGGCCTTGAGTCTTACGGCTTAGTGTTACGGCTGAACGATTCTGTGGAAACGTATTTGCAGTAAATATTGTGAAATTTTTTTTATAGGGAAATGGTGAAAATTTTTTGTAGGGTACTTTCTGTTGGGAGGCGGCTGTCCCAAACTTTAACTTGGGAAAAAAAATACTTACATTTTTTGTGTTTTTTAAATGTTTTTTGAAGATCTTTTAAAGTGAGGTTAAAAGATTTTGATTTATCATGAGTTTTACTCTGCTCTTGTCTTATGCCCGTTTGTGATTCTTAGCAGAGAGTTAACAACACCAAGACTTGGAGAAGGTTTAATCACTTTATTGGTTCCAGGTTTCTTTTCTCTCTTTCTCTTTTTGTAAAACTGAAATATGATACAGAAATAAAGCGTATTAAACTCATTACATTGCTTTCCCATGTTTTCAGGTCACTATCGAAACACAAGAGTTTTAAGCCAGAAACATACTCCATGCAGGTTCATGAACACAGACGCTTTGAGCTAAGCAAACAGTTTCGCCGCAGTTCGTAATGTGTAATTCTGAGCGTCATAGTGTTACAGTGTGGGGCGCTATAGTGACAGCAAAGCCTGGCCACACTGTCTCGTACCATCAGCATGCTTTCTGTTGGTCAACTGTCATAGCAGATGAACAGCTGGATGAGTCTCTCGCAAAAGCAGTTCACTCTCATATATGTGTTACATCATCTCTTATAGATTGAACAGATAATGCAGCTTGCTGTGCTTTATGGTGCATGTTTAGCTGTTGTGGCTGCTCGAATGACAGAAAAATCTCACTACCAAAACAGTTTGTTCGAAAATGTTCGATCATTTGGTTTGATAAATGAAACATAATTAAGGTATAGAGTTACTCAAAGCAAAATGATTTTAGTCTAAAGTTCAAGTCAGTTAAAAGTCCAAACTCTGAACCATTCCAGAATGAGCTATGTATTTGTTTGTTGTAAATGAGGCCTTCATGTGTGAGATGTTCACCTGCTCTTTAAGACAAAACACAAGGGGCCGTCCAGTGGTCAGTGCCTGCCTCACTGAGGCCATCTCCTTCAGATGCTGTTTAAGATGGAGGAAGCCATACCCAGTCCATGAAACTGAAGCATGAGCTAGTAAGGTCATTGCTTCCTCATCTGCAAAACAACATGCCAGCAAGCAAATATAAGTGCTGGAGAAAGGTTGCTGGGTTATGTGACTAATTTCTTTTAGGAAATTTGCTTAGAGGGTTAACAACACAGGTTATCTTGAACCACATGATAATAAGAAGGAAGGAGTATGCAGTACCTTGTGGGATTTTTGTCTTGTTATTACTGATATGAGTGGACATATTCCTCCTGGAGTATGAGGGAAATCCAGAAAATCAGTGTCAACACTTAGGCCTGCTTTAGGGAATAAAAACAAAAAAAAATTTGGTTGTTTGTGGGACTTTTTACATATTAGCCTTTATGATATGAATGCTAATCATTCTAATATGACGATGGTGATACAGAAACGGATTACAAGTTTGCAGGCTAAATGTGAATACTACAATTACTAACACTCAAACGTAAAACTGCAGATTAAGGATGGGCGATACCACCGGAATTTATTGGTATAAATTCTGGTAAAATAATACCAGTAATAATTTATTGGTAAAATAATATATTCCAATATTAATATTGAAACTTTTAAAGGTCTTATACAAGCAACACTCCTGCGCATTGAAATAACATTTCATGAACTACATTGAACTTCAACACCATTGTACTACATTATTATACATAAAAATACATAATTATACATAAAATTTTTGAACACCAAAATTTTTCCAGTTTTTCATTGACATTTAAGCAGTTCAGATCCAGTGAATAACCTGAAATGGTACAAAGGTAAACTGCTAGAGGTTAAAAAACTGATTTGCAAAAATGACAAAACATTAAGATTCAAATGGTATTAACAACAATTTCATAAACAAGTAGATAAAGTAACTCAGTGTGGGATATTTTTCCCTTCATTTCTTTAAATGTTAAAAAAGATTCAAGGTTCAAGTGTTTTTCAGTAAACGACAAGAGTTCTATTTAGAGGCTTATTCATATTTCAACTCTTTGGCCACCTCGTACTTTAGAAGAGCTGGCGTAATACGGGGCAAAAATATATGTACTGCAAAATATATCATCTTTGGAACATTTTTATTTACCACAGGGTGTGATGGATTCATTTTTCCTAATGAGACAACCAGCTTGTAGAATATTGATACTTTGTAATATATTATGAGTACTGTAAATAATGAATAAATTACTGGAGAAATCACTGAAAGTAAATTGCTGTAATTTTACCTCAGAAAATATTTGCCAAAGCTCATTAGGCTGGAAGAGGCTCCAAAACTATCTCGATGAGTTTGGACTTCATTAGTCTACTGTCAGGCAGAGAATGTGCAAATGGAGAAAATTTACCACCGTTCTTACCCTTCCCTTGCCTGGTCCTCCAACAAACATGACTCCAAGCATAAGAGTATAATATTCTGAGAGATCACAAAGAACCCCAGGGTAACATCTAAGGATCTGCAAGCTTCTCTCACACTGGCTAATGTCAGTGTTTGTGAGTCTACAATCAGGCAAACACTTAACAAGGATATGTATGGAATGATAGGATGGAGAAAGCCACGTCTCTCTGGGAAGAACATTTCTGTCTTTATGAAGTTTCCTAAAGACCACCTGGATGACCCAGAAGACTACTGAAAATTTTATGTGGACAGATAATGCAAAAATAGATTTTTTGGCTTAAATGAGAAATGTTATGTTTGGCAAAAACTGAACACTGCATTTCAACATAAGAACCTCGTGCCAACTGTGAAACATGATGGTGGCAGTATCACGGTTTGTATCAAGAAATTCTTCAAGAGAATGTCAGGGCATCTTTCCATGAACTGAACCTCAACCAAAGTGGGTCCTTCGGAAGGGCAGTGACCCAAAAAACACCAGTTAGTCTACAAAAAATGGTTAAAGCAGAAGAAATATTTCATTTTGGAATGGCTTAGTCACAGTCCAGATCTAATCAAGTAGAAATGTTGAGGCAGAACCTAAGGTGTGGCATTCATGCAAGAAAGCCTACCAACATGAGAGAGTTGAAGTAGTTCTGGAAAGAGAAGATTCCTCCAAGTCAGTGTACGAGTCTGATCAACAGTTATAGGTTTTGGTTGAAGTCATTGCTGCTCAAGAGGATCATACCAGTTACTGAAAGCAGAGGTACACGTACTTTTGCCAACAAAGACTTTTAACGTTAGATTACTTTTGTCAATAAATGTATGAAAAACGACATAATTGTTTGTGTTCTTTGTTTTATTTGATTTTACTGGGGTCTCTTTACCTATTGTTATGACTTGTAATAATGTTGTAATAATAAAGATCTGACCGCATTTTAGGTCACATTCATGTAGAAATTTGCAAAATGATAAAGGGTTCACAAACTTTCAAACAGCCCTGTAATTGAATTTAAATGGGGAGCTATGCAAAATGTTAAATGTGTGTATTGTTTTGACAGTTTTGATAGTTTAAATGTGTGTATTGTTTTGATAGTTTTGATAGTTTAAATGTATGTATTGTTTTTGATAGTTTTGAAAATGTGCCAGTCCTGTTCCACTGTGTTGGTTCAAACCTCCAAAAAAAATGAAGTGTTGTGATGCCTGTCATGTATCATGAATATGTCTTCAAGTATCGTGATGTTTAATTTTTGCCATTTTGCCTCATCTTACAGTGTGCAATTCTATATATATTTTTCTTTTTTTTCTTTCACAAAGATAGATATTCATTGTGCTGCTCAATCAATATTTTGCATGAATATGCAAATATCTATAGAAGCCTGTTTCCACCACTAGAAAAACATATCCTTTTAGTAAGTCATTATAATGAGAAAGGTTTTCCATAATTAGGACATAGCATCTCCTAATTATGACTTGTCATCTCATAATAGTTAGATTTTATTTTATAATTTTGACTTGCTGTTTTATAATAATGAGATCCTATCTCATAATTTTGACATAATATCTCATAATTATGAGATAGCATCTCATCTCATAATTAACACTTAATAGGCCATAATAATGACTAATTGTGACTTACAAGTTTCATGATTATGACTTAACATCTCATAATTACAACTTACCTTCTAATAATTTTGACTTAACATGTCATAGGTATCCACCTCATAAGTATGACTAACCTGCTCATAATTATTACTTAGTATCTCATAATTATGACATAGCATATCATTATTTTGACTTGGTATCCCATCATAATACGATTCTTTCTCATAGTTATTACCTGAGTATCTCATAATAATGACATACTATGTCATAATTACGACTTACTTTCTCATAATTGTGAAAATGTTTACAGTACATTATTATGAGATACTAAGTCCTAATTATGTAACACTTTCTCATTATTATGACTTAATAAATAAATTTAGATCGGATGGATGGACCCGTCCACCCTCACTGAGGATATTTGAGGTGAGTTTAAAAACAGGATTTACGGTAATGTGACCTACAACCCCGAGAGCTGCGCTTGTGGACAGTTCGTGTTGCTGCTGCTACCGAGAGCCATAACTTATATGGTTCACTTTGTGAAATAATGGCGTGTTTTAGCAGGAATAATGTTCTCTCACTGTGGAGGGCGTCATTTAAGTCAAGTCTAGATGGATAATATATGATCCATTTCGCAAAAACGATGAGGCCTAACAGAGGAAAGGCTAAAGAACTGACGAGTCGGGCTTGAGGAATACAACACAAGCAGGTAACGGGCGAGCTGTCGGTGCTAAGCTAATCAGATGCTTCAGGTCACTGTCTGTGTGTTTATCAGTCTGGAGGAGTCATATTTCACCGTGGTGTATGACAGTGTGTTACATTATATACATTAACCCTGCTAACTGCTGCTAACGTTAGCTAGGTAGCTAATATTTTGACATTCTTGGCTGGCTGGTGAGACGAGGCTATAGTAAGATTCCTATTCGCCAGCTTTTTCTCGGAATTGTCCCGTTCCACCTTAAATGGTGCAGCCGTTGCATTCTGTAATTCTGAATTCTGAGTGTAACATTAACTGCTGCACTATTTAAGGTGGAACGGGAACGTTCGAACAAGAAAAAGCTGGCGAATAGGAAGCCAACTTTACGTTCGTGCTAATGAGGCTAAATTATGTTAAATACTGTTAAATACAGTCATTTTGTGTATACTAAAGCATAAATGTTCGCACTAAACCATGTAACCTATGTTTCTTTGTGGCATGAAAACGTGAGGTAACGTTATCATGGTTGACAGTTAGCCTTTTAGCTCTCCTCACCGTTGTTGTGCTGAGTGACAGCGAGCTGTCATGGCCTTGGCTGTGTAAAAATCGGTCGATATCTGGCTACTTCACATATTTGGGGAGGTTATTGGCGAGATTATCAGCTGTAACCCTTAGATTAGATTACCTTGTTGTCATGTCTACAGTCAGCGGTTGCTGTTGTCTTATGTGCTGCTGTGATACAGATCAGAATTGAGAATTCAGGGAATCTTCTGTTGTTGTGGGTGTAATAATGGTATATAAAGGCCAAATTAGAACTACACCCGTACAGTGATCTGATGTATATATGCCATATATGCGCATATTTCGTAAAGGATTAGACATACAGTTGTGCTCATAAGTTTACATACCCTGGCAGAATTAGTGATTTTTTGACAATTTTTCAGAGAATAATAATGATAATACAACAACTTTTCTTTTATTCATGGTTAGTCGTTGGGTCAAGCCATTTATTATAAAATAATTGTTTTTGCCCTTTTTTAAATCATAATGACAACAGAAACTACCCAAATGACCCTGATCAAAAGTTTACATACCCTGGAAGTTTTGGCATGATAACATACACACAAGTTGACACACACAGGTTTAAATGGCTACTAAAGATAACCATCCTCACCTGTGATCTATTTGCTTGTAAATCAGTGTGTGTGTGTATAAAGAGTCAGTAAGCTGCTCTCCTGACAGACCCCTGCATGTTTCATCCGGTGCTGCCACTGACGTTGTTGGATTACGAGACATGGGGAGAGCAAAAGAATTATCAAAGGATCTGCGGGAGAAGATAGTTGAACTTTATAAAACAGGAAAAGGATATAAAAAGATATCCAAGGAATTGAGAATGCCAATCAGCAGTGTTCAAACTCTAATTAAGAAGTGGAAAATGAGGGATTCTGTTGAAACCAAGCCAAGGTCAGGTAGACCAACAAAAATTTCAGCTACAACTGCCAGGAAAATTGTTTGGGATGCAAAGAAAAACCCCACAAATAATGTCAGCTGACATACAGGACTCTCTGAAAAAAAGGTAGTGTGGCTGTTTCAAGATGCACAATAAGGAGGCGCTTGAAGAGAAATGGGCTGCATGGTCGAGGCGCCAGAAGAAAGCCCTTACTACACCAATGCCACAAAGCAGCCCGCTTACAATATGCCAAACAGCACAGAGACAAGCCTCAAGATTTCTGGAACAAAGTTATTTGGAGTGATGAGACCAAAATTGAACTTTTTGGCCATAACCATAAACACTACATATGGAGAGGAGTCAACAAGGCCTATAATGAAAAGTACACCATCCCTACTGTAAAACATGGAGGTGGATCGCTGATGTTTTGGGGATGTGTGAGCTACACAGGCACAGGGAACTTGGTCAAAATTGATGGCAGAATGAATGCAGCATTTTATCAGAAAATACAGCCTGGAAGCTGTGCATGGGATGCACTTGGATGTTCCAACATGACAAAGATAAAAAACACAAGGCCAAGTCGACCTGTCATTGGCTACAGCAGAAAAAAGTGAAGGTTCTGGAGTGGCCATCTAAGTCTCCTGACCTCAATATCTCCTGACTCAATATCAATAACCACTTTGGGGAGATCTCAAACGTGCAGTTCATGCAGGACAGCCCAAGAATTTACAGGAACTGGAGGCATTTTGCCAAGAAGAATGGGCAGCTTTACCATCTGAGAAAATAAAGTGCCTCATCCACAACTACCACAAAAGACTTCAAGCTGTCATTGATGTTAAAGGAGGGAATACACGGTATTAAGGACTAGGGTATGTAAACTTTTGATCAGGGTCATTTGGGTAGTTTCTGTTGTCATTATGATTTTAAAAAAGGGCAAAAACAATTGTTTGATAATAAATGGCTTGACCCAACCACTAACCATGAATAAAAGAAAAGTTGTATTATCATTATTATTCTCTGAAAAAATATCAAAAAATCACAAATTCTGTCAGGGTATGTAAACTTTATGAACACAACCGTATATTTCAAAATATATGGTCATATATGTAAATAAGTGTCAAATATTGGACATGGATATGCATAATATCTGGATCATATTGATCTGATAAATGATTAAATTCATACATACATGAAATATGAATCATGCACTAAAAGATTAAAATACAAAAAACTTATATAACATAAAGCTGTCATATATTAGTACTATTTTCCATCCATATGTGAGTAATTTTCTTCTATGATGTATTTTTGAATGTACATGTTATGCATATTTTTTAACTGATGAAATATGATATGTCCCATATTTTGAAGAAGTTGGCGTATATGTCCATATTACGAAATCTGAGTTGCATATATGAGTTCACATATGCTAATATGTCATACATTTGCTCTCTTTCTTATGCCAAGCCTTGACCCAGTTAATACCCCAGTCAAATATGCTTCTTCTCTGGACTTAAAACAACAACAACAAATGTGTTCCTGGTGTTTTTCTCAAAGAGATATTGTTTTAGTTTCTAGTTTTATATTTCATTGGAACAAATTTGTGAAAGATGTGAACTAGAAGAAAATCTGGACATTACCTCTTAAATTTCTAGTGACTAATAAAATCAAGGAAGTTCTTTTTAAAATATGATGTAGATACTACTCAACAAACCTTTTTTTTTGACATAAGTTAAAAAGATCTCAATCCAGACTGCTCCTTTTGCGATGTACACCCTGAAACCAGACCTCATTTATTTTGGTGCTTTATTTTTGTAAAAAATGTTTTGGAAAGAAGTGGCCAGATTTGTAGTTGGTCATATAGACTCTGATTTTGCTTTGAACCTGGAAAATGTTTTGTTTGTTTTTAGTAATGTTTATGAAGATAATAAAGCTAAATAAATTGTACTGTCATAAATGTAAATGTAATAATGTCAAGCTGTTATTCATAATGTTTGTACTTGAGATTAGACTGTATATTAAAATTATTCTTGATTCAACAAATAGAAAAGCTGCAAAAACTGTGGACATATATAAATCACTTGGCGTCTTTATGTAACTGTACCCCTACATGTACCCCTACATGTATGGTGACTGTGATGATCCCACCACTAATCTGATATCATCTGATCTCGGTTAGCTCATTAAGTGCTGTTTAGCTACTGCAGTGATAGCCTTTTAGTGTAATGCCAGCTTATATAACATCTTATTTTACTTAAGACTTTTTCATAGAGATACCTTCAAACTTCAGCCAATGAAACAGCATCTATGGCACCAGGCGGACCAGCTCAGCAAAGAGGACCATCGTTTTCACCACCCCATCACATTAGCTATCATGGTGCTTAGAGTTAACAAATTCCAAAAAAATCGGATTTGTTTAAATTAATTTAATGTACCACCATGATTTGTTAAAAAGGAAAAAAAAAAAACACAAGTGGTCTCTTGGGCTGCAGGCTCTGAATTTATTGTGGCCAAAATGTGAAGTGCATTGCTTGATGCCAAAATTAAGAGAAAGCTGCTTTTTGAGACTTTTTGGGACTGTGACTGTGAAGTGTGGAGATGAGGCAGGATGTAATTGCAAGTTGATTTTATTGTCATCAGATTTTCAGAGTCCAAGAATTGATTGAATGATGCAAGTAGTACAAAGATATCCATACTGAAAATAACAAAACAAAGGAAAATAAAAAAAGTGAATAAGATTAATAAATTATAAACAAAAGGCTAAAAGTGATAAATACAAGCAGTAAGCACAAACAGACAGTTTTGTAAAGCAATGCAAACAGAAAAAACAAGAAACATCTGGGAGTAATTGTGATAAGATGGTACTACAGACAAAACACAGGTAGGCAGGATAATAGAGGTAGGACGAGGGAGGAGACAGAAACCAAAACAACATAAACAGCACATGGCTGGAGCTAGAGTGACAGAGAACGGAGCATGACAGAAACAGAAAAGAGAAGAGACAGACAGGGAAGCACCTGGGCGTAGTTTTATATTCTGTTTTATCATTTATGTAAGCTCAGTCACTGAAATAGCTTTTTATCATTTGAGGAAAAGTTAGGCCTCTTCTGTCCCAGCGTGAAGCAGAAAAAACATGCCTACTTGTTGCCAGCAGAGTTGGTTAGTGTAATGCTCTTATCGAAATGTAGCAGCATGAATTCTAACGAAAAAGAAAGATCACCCCTGTTTGGGTAAGCCACAATACCAGACTTTCATGCAGACAGCTAATATAACAGACTGTTTTTTTATTTTTTTATTTTAGCCAATTGATAGACCCAGCTGTGAGATATGAGCCCCTTAAACCAGAAGGTTATTATTTAGTTATTAATCTTAGGGCTTATTATTCAGTAACTTCTATAAATAATTTAGTAACTTGTATACATTTAGAGTGTAAGTTATGTAATTTTGAGAGTGAGGAGCTGAAGTGTGGGCTCACTTGCAGACACTTTCAGGTTCACCCTAGGCACTACCTGAAGCACCATAGCAACACCCTAGCAACCACCTGTAATAACATATGCACCACTTTGTAGCACTTAAAATACCATAGCGACTTACCTTAACAACTAGCTTGGATAACATAGCAACTGCCTGAAACACTATAGCAGTCACGTGGTAACACCCTATCAAGCACTATGGATACTGCTTAGCAACCTCTATGAACCACCATAACTAGCAACCATAACAACAATCTAGAAACAAGCTAGCAAACCTCAAAATACCATAGAGGCAGTTTGCTTAAGTTGCACAATCACTCTACATTGTCAACTACAACTGCCATTAAGCTTAAAGTTGTCTTTGATTGAAGCAGTTCACTTAAGATGTGCATCTAAAAGGAGGCCATCATATTCAAACTATTCAAACTCCCTATTCTTCCCAAAGAAGAAAGAAGAAGAATCGCACAGTAAACAACACCACATTACACAGTGTGAGCGTCTGCTATTTCAGACTAGATTTGTTACAGGATTGAATTGAATTAATTCTTTTTTTTTCGCTCTGATATTCGATCTGGAATTTTCTGTTGATGGTGACCCGATAGGATACCCATCGATACTGAAATGCCGTCTCTAGTAACGTTCCCTTCTCCTTTCCTGCAGGAATGGCCTCCCAGCTCCAGGCATTCTCCTCCCCTTCGATCTCCTCCAGTGGCATCTCCCGCTCCAAGAAGCTCAAGCTGGAGAGCAATGCGTGGGATGTAAGCAGCCAATCAGGTGAGAGTGGCTACTACCTGCAGAGCCCTGGCCAGACCAATGGATCCTCGCCCTCAGCTTCAGGGTTCACCTCGGGCTACGGCTCCTCCAGCCTGGTCTTTCCGCCCTCTGGGGGCTCCCGGGATCAGACGGTGGTCCGTGCGGCAGACAGCACCGGAAGTGCCCCGGGACCTTCGTCCTCCTCTTCTTCCTCATCCTCTTCTAGCCGGCGGGCCAAAGACGGGGCCTCAGCCTCACGATCCAGCGACGGCTACCAGAAGCACAGCAGCAGCCTGAAGAGGAAGAGTGAGGAGGTCGACAGCAGCGACAGCGTCCAGATCCTGGAAGAGCTCTCGGCTCCAGTGCTGTCTAACAGAGTGGCCGGAGGCGGAGGCACCACCACAGCACAGTCCATCGCTCACTCCACCTCCACCACCAAGAGCAGTAACTCGCACAGTGAGGGAGACTACCAGCTGGTGCAGCACGAAATCCTCTGCTCTGTCTCCAACAGCTATGAGGTGCTGGAGTTTCTCGGCCGTGGCACCTTCGGCCAGGTGGCCAAGTGCTGGAAGCGTGGCACCAACGAAATAGTGGCCATCAAGATCCTCAAAAATCACCCCTCCTACGCTCGACAAGGGCAAATCGAGGTACAAGCCTTGAAGCCAAGGTTTCTTATTCAGTTTTTAGTCTTAAGGCTTATTATACAGTAACTACTATGGAAATAATAAGTAAGTTATATGTAGTTATGCAAGTGTGGACCCACATACGAGCTTGTATGGTTAAAGTAATAATGTTAATGTATCGGCATCAACAGATATACATGAAAAAATACTGGAGATTGGCATTGGCCCACACTTCCCATGCAGTGTATTCCTATAAAAAATAGTTATAAATATATATCTGCATTTTTGGTCATTGAGCTTTTACAGAGCTTTTATATTCAACATTCTACATACAACACATGTAGAATTATCTTAGAAGTCATTGCAAAATTTCTGCATAATTCAGCTGTTGTGTCCTAACCGATTCAGATTTCTTTACAGTGGTAATGATAGGAACCAGGAGTCACAATGTCTACAGCACTAATATAGCCATTTTATTTAGCATCCAAAACCACCTTTGAACTTGTGTGCTTCTTCTGAGTTTATGTGTTGTTTATGATGATAATATAGTGGTAAAAAAATGTTTGTTCAGGAACTATTTTTGTCTTCCAACACTCTACATGTATGTCTCTTCCATGAATGGATTTAAATAACATTTTTTTAGGCCAAGACTTTCACAATTCTATCATAAAACAATGTGTCACATGTGTGTGTAAAACAAAAAAAAATCGGTGGAATTTCCATTGAACACTAAACAAAGTAAGAAGCTAAAAACAAAGAATTTCAATAATGATCAATTTTGTTATCATTTTCACCTAGGCCTTACGTGATACTGTTGTCAGCTTTAAAAATACATTTAGCCATTTAGCTTTAGTTTAATGTTTAGTATAATGTCTCTCTTTTCCTTAGGTGAGCATCTTGAGCCGCCTGAGCACGGAGAATGCTGACGAGTTTAACTTTGTGCGCTCCTATGAGTGCTTCCAGCACAAGAACCACACGTGCCTGGTGTTCGAGATGCTGGAGCAGAACCTCTACGACTTCCTGAAGCACAGCAAGTTCAGCCCACTGATGCTGAAGTGCATCCGGCCCGTGCTGCAGCAGGTGGCCACAGCGCTCATGAAGCTGAAGAGCCTGGGCCTGATCCATGCCGACCTCAAGCCTGAGAACATCATGCTGGTGGACCCCATCAGGCAGCCCTACAGAGTCAAAGTCATCGATTTCGGCTCAGCCAGCCACGTTTCCAAAGCTGTGTGCTCCACTTATCTGCAGTCCAGATACTACAGGTGAGTGACAGGTTGTGAATGTATAATGTTACTGTGGAGGATCTTCACAATATTATTTTTAGGCTGCGTTCATATTACAGGCCTCATTTTTGGCTCATAACCGATTGTTCTGCTTTGCTGGTTCATGTTCGTGTATTTACAGTCATATTCCAAGGTTTGAAAATCTCGGTAAAATGACGTTTTGTTGATTTGATAGGTGAAAATAAGTTAACACATCCTCAAACCTAAATGTGTCCGAAATATGATTTGTTGAGTTTAACATATTGGAAGAAAATAGAGTATAAAATATAAACTGTGCCATAGCTTTAGCACAAGCCTCATTTTATGTTTTTTTTTCTCAGTGTGTTAAATTCAGAAAGCTGCATATATAAACCTCATCTTAATGTTCTCTCTGTTTTCCTCCAGAGCTCCTGAGATTATCTTGGGTCTGCCGTTCTGTGAGGCCATTGATATGTGGTCTTTGGGCTGTGTTATTGCTGAACTGTTCCTGGGTTGGCCACTGTATCCTGGAGCCTCGGAGTATGATCAGGTCAGCAAACAGCTGTGAACCCAGTTTTTCTTACTTCTTGCTTTTCACTGATCTTTGGCCTGTGATTTCTTCTGATCTAGGGTCATTTACACACTTTCTTTACTAATGTTTGTTGTCCACAAGAAGGAGGTGATGTTGTGAAAGCAAATTCTATTGCTAACTACTTGACTAGTTTGGGTATCTCTAGTGCTAAGTCTGTGAATGTGATTTTTAGGTTCTTGATGAAGGTCTTTACAGCCTAAGGCTTATGGTACAGTTACCACCTGGACTGCAGTGCAGTTATTCTTAGGTTATAGAAATGTGTAATAAAAGTTGTCCATTTAAGGAGTTAAAATATCTTGGAATTTTGTTTTCAAACATTTCAGTGGGATGGACTCAAGAATTTGGTCTGAAATGTAAGAATGTAAATATTTAGAAAGGAGGTCCTGTCAGTATTATGTGTACTGGAAGTGAGACGTGAGATTCTTTCTGTATTTTCCCAGAATTTCCGTTTTCTTAAAACCATTCTCACCCCTAAAGATTAATCGCTATGTTGTGCTGCTGCAGATCCGATACATCTCCCAGACGCAGGGTCTTCCAGCAGAGTATCTCCTGAGTGCAGGCACCAAAACCAGTCGCTTCTTCCACAGAGGCCCAGACGCCAGCTACCCGCTATGGAGACTCAAGGTCCTTCAGCCGTGAAGCTTGGGTTTTGTTGCTTTTGCTTTATAACGTAACCGTAATGGAAGTTAATCGAGATTAATGCTTTCTTATTTTAAATCTCTGTCTGATGCTTTTTGTATTTAGACGCCTGCAGAGCATGAGGCAGAGCTTGGCATCAAATCCAAAGAGGCTCGGAAATACATCTTCAACTGTCTTGATGACATGATGCAGGTTGTTTGTGCATTTTTGCGCCTAATCATATTATTTCTATGGTTGGCTGCACAATTATATATGTGTATTATCACATTATTGATTCACTAATGCAGTTTTAATATGTTACAAATGAATATTGTACTTGTTAATTTTTTAATGCTATATTGTCAGTATTTTTTTGTACTTTTTTTAAAATTACAAACCAAATGTGGGTGTGGCTTAAATCAGAAATGAGTGCAAGGTGCTGCAAGAGGGTACATTTAGTAACTGTAAGGGGTTGCAGACTAATCAAGAAGCGCTGGTGTTAATGACATGCATGCGGAATGTAACTTAGACACCCAATGAGCAGTCTGTGTTTTGGAACAGGCCTGCTTATTGGTTTACAGATGCTAAGACTGGCTGTTTAGGTATTGCATTTTGGTGTTGAATAACAGGATTTTTGGAGTGCTCAGTTGTAGTGAAGTAATTCATTTTTTGTACCATGAAATAGGACTGAAATATAAAATATACAAAGTAATTTACTGCAAAATTGAAATTTTTGCTGATTTGAAATATAGCACATGTATCTCTTCTGCAGGTCAATATGACTAATCTGGAAGGCACCGACATTTTGGCAGAGAAGGCTGACAGGCGGGAGTTCATCGACTTGCTGAAGAAGATGCTCACACTAGACGCAGACAAAAGGATCACGCCAATGAAGACGCTTAACCACCCGTTTGTGACGATGACCCACCTTCTGCACTTTCCTCATAGTGCACAGTAAGCTGGCTCTGCAGTTCTTTTCTTTTTAAATCAGAAAACACCTGATATTAAATTATTGTTGTTTGTCATCAGTTGAAATGTATAATTTAAATAGCGCTGGTTCCTCAAGAAAATCTTTTGTCTCCGTTTCTTCTGAAATTGGGGTCACCCACTGAGACATATATTGCAGCTCAAGGGGCTAAAAATAAACATACTGAAGCTTCATGAAAATCAGACTTGTTTTTTTTTAAGAGACAGCTTCTTTCCTTAAAGGAATACTGCCTTGTACTTACTAAAAGATTTCAGTACTTTAATTTAAAAGTCGGAATAAATCCAGTTAATTCACTGACCCTCAATGTTATAATCTGCTGTTTCTCTGTCTGGGTACAGTGTGAAGTCCTGCTTCCAGAACATGGAGATTTGCAAGCGCAGGTGCACCGCCTTCGACAATAACAAGAACCTGTTTAGCAGTAACAATGGGCCGAGTGCAGCCGCTAACCTCACTGTGACCTTCAGCAGCCAACTCAGTCAGCACAGTCAGGTAGGGAATAACACAAGCCCTTCAGGGCAGATGCTGTGAGAAATGTGTAGTCCATATTTTATCAACTGCGCAAGAGTTCACAAGATCATGGTCTTGTGAGGCCCCTGGGCAAAAGAATTGTTGGAGGCCTCCCGCAATTCAACCATAACCTGAATATAATGAGACCTGTATATTAAGATAAGAAATATTTCATTACTTTTGTTAATATTTTGTTATAAATAAACAAACTTGGCCTTATTCATTTCTTATTCATTTCAATTTAATTTCAACCAAGATTTCTCTTATTTCTTTTGATTCCAGGCCAGACATTTGATTCGAATGGCAACAGCATCAAAAAACAGAAAACTGGCCTAAACAATTATTTTCATGTTATTCATTTATTTCATCCATGTAGTCATTTGTACATATTTGTTCAAATGCTTTTTATTCATCTAATGTTTATATCTGCAGTGGATTGCCTTAAGTATTTGAACTATATCGAGCCTTGTGGTCTGAGACCCCTGAAGGCTTCTTGTGGTCAGAGGTACCTGGGCACTGTCCTCAGTGTCCTGGTCCATAGTCCATCCTTGGCTGTAGCAGTGTAAACTAACCAGGCAGTTGATTTCTGTGCTGTAGTAGCCAAACTGTTTCAGCAACGTTCTACTTTAACTGTGCTGGTTAGAAAATAACAGCCATCTCATTTGAATATTCAGCATGGAGCACAATTTAAAGTAATAGTTAGGTTAATAATAATTAAATTTACACAAATTTCCCCTTACACCATGACTTAATAGATAAGCAAAAGCATTTTTGGTACCTGAAGTTTGCGTCTTTAGTTTAGCACTGAGCTACTTTATCTAACTAGTAATGGAAGCTTTTACCCAAAAATAAGCATCATTCAAACTGCATGCCAGTATCACATACTTGTACTTTCAAATAGAATTGCTTATGTAGTTTCTGACTATAAAAATAGACAAAGGTGTGTTGCATAGTTAAAAACAGTTGTGAGAGTTGCCCTGAATCCTAAAATTTATCTGTGCTTTTTTAGTGCGTCACCTGCTGTCTCTGTTTTGTTTCTAGCAGATGGCGCCATCTGGTGGTCAGTCTCTATCTCTGAGCAGTAATGTTCCTCTACTCAACTACCAACCGGGTCTGTACCAGCAGGCCACCATCAACATCCCAGGCCTTACACAGCAGAGTGTCCCGCTACAGGCCCGTCCCACACAGCTCTGCCCCCAGACAGAACCCTTCCAGCAGACCCTCATTGTCTGCCCCCCGACTATACAAGGTCAGGCCAACAGATCCTTCTTAGCTGATACGGAGACATTCTCTAGCTCTGTTAGTGTGAGAGATTCAGGCATGGTTATAAGTAGGGGGGTACACAATATGGCAAAAATACAATATCACAATGCTGTAAAAAATGTTTTCACGATACATATCACAATATTTTTGTTTTTATACATGGAACAGATTAGTTTGATACATTAGAAGAAACCCAGCAGTGCAATGTTTTAAAAAATACTGTCAAAAACTGAATATGGTGATTATGCAATGATTTTTATTTAACATTTCACACCCTACACTGCACTAAGGCCTTCTTAAGGGCCTCTAAGTAAAATATTTATTCATGCAGTTGCATTCGTTCCAAGATATGGGCTTTGCTGTTTATTTGCTGTGCTAGCTTTATGTGGGGTGGCACTGCGGCACACAGATATTTCATTGGCCACCTTGGGTACCCAGTCCCGGAACCCATTTGTGAAAGAACAAAATGCCATAAGTAAAGAATAAAAATGAAAAGAATACAATCACTGCAACCAGATAAAGCTCCACAATTTAGCATGATAAAATGCATTTTTGTTGTTTAACCAAATAAGTATCACATTTAAATTACAGTACTGTGCAAAATCAGAGACTAACCTTTATTTAATTTCCAGCCAAAATGGCTATTATGCACGTGTTATTAATTTTTCAGGAGGCATTTCTAAGAAGATTGGATTTAGGGTTATTCACTGGCATGAGGGACGAGACAGACAAAGGAAAATAAGTGAAAAACAGGAGTTTTTTCTTGATATTGATATTGAAATAAGATATTGAAAAAATGGCCAGGTAGACCACCAAAACCGTTCCCACCAAATAAAGAGTCCTTACAGTTTTCATCTTTGAGAGAGAGAGGAGATCAAGCTCCGCTCTTGCTTCAGATCTGAAGAAATTCCGTTTCTGTCCATCCATAAGAAGCAAGAAGTGCAACCAACATCTAAGACTGAACTTTAGAGGTGTGGAAAAATATCACTGCAAATTTCTTTGAAAAACTGAGAGCAAGTCTCCTGAAAAGAATGGAAGGCAAACTAAATACTGACAAATTTGATATTATATGTAGTTGTTGATGCTTGTGTGTCATTTTCTGTTAAATACATTTTCTGTTTTCTCTGTGACACTAAAAAGTTAACATAATGGCTGTTTTGTCTGGAAATTAAATCAATGAAGAGTGGTCTCTGACTTTTGCGCAGTACCGTGTATTAGAAAAATTCACAGATGTATTGTTATTTATTACTCATAGAACCTTAACTGTGGCTGCAACAAACAGTTGACAAAGTTGATGTTCAGTGTTCATGATGATTATGTAAGTCATGCCTTAATAGAAAAAACCTTACAAACAAAAGTGCCTTATTGCTCTGGAATGTTAGGATGATACATTTGGTCATCTGGACAGATTGCAGTACACTCCAAGAAGAACAGGAGGTGATTTGACTTGTTTTGTTGCCCCATAAAAACAGACAAAACTTTGAGCGATGGCGGCGTTGTGACAGAGCTAATGAGAGGAAACAGCAGTGAGCGTAGTGGTTCAATTAGTCAAACAATAGTCAGTAGATTAATTCATCATATAAATAATCATTAGCTGCAGTCCTTTTTATAATGACAAATTATTAATCAGTCATAATTGATTAATAAGTGTTTCTGTCTGTATCTATTGCTTAATCTACATTTTTCTGAATTTTGATTGGTAATCACTGTGCTGTTGTTATAGTAACTGAGTGCAGTATCTCTTTATTCCAGCAGGGCTTCAGCCGTCCAATAAACACTCGGGTTATCCAGTGAGGATGGACAATTCTGTCCCTATGGTCCCTCAAAACCAGTCCACCCAGTCCCTGCACATCCAGCCGGGCATGCTGACACAGGTAGGACCTCTGAGTGTGCATACATGTTTGTGAGACAGAGGGAGTGAGAGCTTTACCTGGAACTGGTTCTGTCTTCTGAATGGCTTCTGTGGCATTTTTCCATGCGTTTGACTCCTTCTTCCTGAACGTGATGGTTTGTAGGATCTAATGCTGTTTTGTTCTTTTTCTAACAATGTTTTTGACTGAAAAATAAGGCCAGTTCAATAATGTCAGTATTGATACTAATGGGATGAAAGGAGTCTGTGCCAGATTGCACTTTGTGGTGTGTTCTTTGGTATTATTAATAAAATTGTAAAGTATTTTTCTGTCCTGTACTATCAATTTAACAGTCGTTCAGGACGGTCTGAATGCATAAAGTTGTCTGTACTAAAGCACATGACCACTTTTTAAACTCTTAAACCCTAAGAGCCTGTATGTGGGCCAACAATTCCATTTCATACTCTCAAAACTACATATTAGTTTCGTAGTAGTTTCTAAATAATACCTTATTTATGTCATAACAAAACTTTCTATTTCTGAAATGGAAACTTTAAAGGGGTGTTCTGGCCTAAAACTATAGATTTCATTCATCAGTGTCGTCTCACTGCCGTACCCTGCATGCATTACTCAAATACATCATACATCCTTTGGGAATCCCTGTAGTGTCAACCAATTCTGACTGCTAGCGTAGCCACTGATCTGCATGCTAATAAATACAACCAAACCAGCACTAGAGTAACCCTTACCTTGGTCGCTGTATGAAATCATAAAGAAAGCAGTATCTGCATAGTAAAAAAGGAGCCAAACTGGTATAAGGTATCGAAATCGAAATATGTATCTTGCTGACTTTATTAGCAAGGTATAAGTCCTCCTCGGCTGATAAGTCACCTCCTTTATTGTCCTTTATACCTTATTACAATTATGTTGCTGCAATAAAATATTCAGTTTCCTAGAAATAATGTTAGTTGTTTGCCTTTCTTCAAAACAGCCCCCACCTTCAAGACACATCCTCACCTTCAAGATATGTCATCAGGAAGTGGTCTTCCTTGTGTTTACACCAGAAAATCTTACTCTAGAGCCCATGTGTCAAACACAAGGCCCACAGGCCAAATCAGGCCAGTGGCACATTCCTGTTCAGCCTGCAAAATTATCTTTATTTTCTTTTAATATTAGCCCATCTCACACTGAACTGCACTACAGTCCCCAGAATGCACTGCAACATAATGTTCACTCTGACCCTCTTCCCCCCAAAAAATCTATAGGCCAGTGATTACACAAAAAGAAAAGATGCATGGTTTCTCGTTCAAGCAAATAGGCAGTTTAAAAAAACCTAACTCCTGGGGACTTTTAAAGGGGTTCAACAATTCTCTGTCGCTGATGAAGCCTGTTGTTTTGTATAAAGCAATTTGTTATTTTTGAATAGTTTAAGTATTCCAAAGGTTTGTTGAGATTTTTTTAATATGGCCCTTTTACTGGTTGAGTTTGAGACCCCTGCTCTAGAGACTACTGAGGTGGCACTTTAGGATGCAGATCAGCATATTTTCACCAGATACAGTGATGGTTATATTTTCATTTTGGCCAGAGTGTCCCTTTAAAGTAACAAGAGTTTATTTCAAGTAAAATAGGTCAAATAGTTATTAAGTGAATGTAATGTAAAAACTATGTGGTATTTTTAAATGGTGTGGAAAATGAAAACATTGCAATGTTTTGTTATGACAGCGACAATATAGTAGCTGAATAAATGAATAATTGGTTAGAAGACTAATAAATAAGTAATAAGCTTAGGGTTTAAGAGGTTAAATAAGCCCTCCCTTTATGTATTTCTCACTGTTTGTGCTGTAACCTCTCTCTTGGTGTTGTTCGTGAAAATACGTAGTAATTCAGTCACTCCTTTCCTCCCGCATACAGTGTGTTTTAATCCTCCAAACTCCTCCCCCTCCACACACCCCTCCGCCCCCTCAACCCCTCCCCCCGCAGGGCTCCTGCACGCCGCTGATGGTCGCTGCCCTGCACCCCCCCATGGCAGGAGTGACCCCGCTGTACCCGGTGCCCCTGGCACTGGGCTGCTCATCCGGGAGAGGCGGGCATCTGGAGCAGAGCGGCGCAGCCATGCTGGTAAAGCCACGCCACGGCTACCGCAGAAACCCCTACCGATTCCTCCCCCTGCTCAGACCTATCCTCTCCTCTCCTCCCCAGCTCGCTCCTCCAGGGGTCTGCAGACTCAAAGCATGATGGGACGCATGTGGCTTTACCAGTCTGCGCTTCTGCTTGCAGTTTCCAGCGTCCACCCCCATCTCCCTCACCCTTTACTTGGTCCAAAACTCCCAGCTCTGGCACTCTGACCCAGCAGTGCTGCTCAGAGATGGGCTTCCTATTCAGCCCAGTTTTGCTCTGTTTCAGCTCCCAAACCTACATTAACCCAGAGAGCATTTTTAAAAACCTTTATTTTCAGTGAATGAATACACCATTTCCGTGAGGACGGGAGGCCAAAGGAAGAGAAAAAAAATCACTTTTGAAAAGTATCCAAATTCATGCGAATGGGGCCTGGGACAGAAATATGTAAATGAGCTCTGTTTTGATTGGCTGTCCTCTGTTGTATCTCAAAAAGCAGTCCAGGCTAGAAGACTTCATATAACTTCAGAGTGAACAGGCAGGGCTGAGCTGTTATAGACCAAATAAACAGATCTATGTAAAAATGTTGGTTGTCTTGACCTCACAGAAACAATGAATTCAAAATAGTTTTTGCAAAATAAATTTTCTGTGATATGCACCGTTAAAAGGTACCGTAGTATGGAAAAAGAAATTTACATTGTCTGTTTCAAAGCATACCATTCACCCCTCGTTCTGTATATGGAAACTATTGCTAACTTGTTTGAATTCATCGTGGTCGTGATGCCACAACTATGAATATAGGCACTCCTCCTCATTCAGCCAACAGCAGTTGATCCCATCTATTCATGTTGAAGTGATAAAGAATATTGTTTCTTAAGAAGGTCTTTAGCAGAGTTATTGGAGTGGAAGAGTAAAATGATTAATGATAAATATTCCTGCCTGGAAGCAAATGGATCTCTGCAGCCTTCTGAATGATTCAGACGTTCAAAAGGAGCAGCTTTATTTTACGAACTTCCTGAGCATTTCTGAACTTCCACTCGTTTTTGCCAAAACTGTTTTTCTGAATGAAGCATGATACCAGATGGCCAATCAGAACGGAGCAGAATTCATTCATATATTACAGTCTTAAAGGCACCAGAAGTCTAAACAGAAAGTTTGGAAAATGGTCATGTAAAAATCAGTTATAGCTGATTTTGTTCATAAAACCACACAAACATTACAACAAAAAAGATCCAAGAAGGGGCCTTTACAGGGGCTATATGCTACATTTTCTTGTTTTTTATTTCCCTGCAATCCATTTATGAGCTTTATGTGGTTTTATGTACCAAAAACTGTGAAAATTCCTTTTTATATTTAAATTTTTCAATCTGTCTTTATTTTTTGGAATCAAACAGGCTGTTTTTGATACTGTGCCTTTAAGACTGATAAATGTGAGTGTGCTCTGTTCTCACTGGCTGCCCTGTATTGTGCCTCCTTCAAAAAGCAGTCCAGACTAAAACACTCTTTCTTTGTGAACGGGCAGAGCTAAGCTGCTATAGGCTGAATAGGCTGATGTAAATGTGTTGGTTTTCGTTTCATCACAAAAAACATTGAATTAAAAATGGGCTGTTTTTGCAGCTTAGTTCACATATATGGAAAGTGAATGATACATTTTGAAACTGCTTTTGATTTATTTAAAAAATATAAGGAAAGTTTGGTTTCCCATCACATGAGCTCTTTCTAGAACACTTAATTCCTGGTACAGGTGTACCAGAAGCTAGTTTAGAGCAAAAATGTGGAACATCTGACCCTGAGAACTTGACTGATAAACGCTGTACAGTGCGTCAAGGACTAGAAGCTGTTGTTGTGATTGAGTTAACTCCACATCAGCAGATTTGCTCCTTGACTTGAATTCTGTCACATCTGTTTTCACATCTGCAGTGAGTTTGTTTGATTTCAGCTTTGTTCTCACTCTTGTGAAAGCAGATTTTTGAACACACACCAAAGAAACATTTTACAGTTTGATTAAAGTAGATGAGCTCTTAGAAATAAAAGAAATCTGGATAATTAAATTATTAAAATGTAGCCAAAGTGATTCTGAGTGTTTTGGTGTGAAATGCCCCATTCTAGGGAAACTACCCATCTCATAGAAAGTTCTTACATGAAATGGTCATGAATGTGTTCCCTTATAGTGGAAGGGGAATGTAAAGCTTTAAAAAATTACTGCTATTTTACCATCATCAACATTATATATAAAAACGCAGAAGACTCATGTAGGTTCAGTGGTGTTCTTGGATAGTAAATAAAATGGCTGTATTTGTGTTGTAGACATTGCAACCCCTGGTTTTTATCACCACCTAGTCTGTAGGCATCTCTACAATACGCTATTTCACATCAAACCACTCTGAATGACTTTGTTTATGTCTCAACACTAGAATTATGGCAAAATAAAATAAAAAGCAGTGAAATTCTCCTTTAAAATGAGATGAAGGTCAGGGAAATGGTATCACTCAGAGGTTCAGGACTGTAAAATTGAAGTTATAACAAATCATATCTGACCTAAAATCTCAAACTTTGCGACATAAGAATAGTTTTAGTATTGTAAGATTGTATCAAACTATTGCTTAGGTGTTTTTACATCATACAAGCTACATCTACAGGTGACTATGACTACAGGTGGCGTGTGGATAGAGCTGAAGATATGAGCTGAATCTTTCTTTTCTTCCTCTAACTCTTACTTTTTCATTTGCAGGTTGAAATTGTGCTTTTGAGTATTTTTCGTAACCAGGTGGCCAGACTGCTCTGTCTGCAGCATGCCTTTAGTGGGATGCTTTGTATTCCCGTGGAGAGTGCAGTTTATTCCTCTTCTTCTTCTTCCTTTGTTCAGAGACCTGGTCTTTTGTCTAAAAAGGATTCTTTTTCCTTTACCTCCTTTTCCTCTTCCATTCTCTTTCCCAGCAGCAACCAGTAAGCGTCTCCCTTTCTAGGCCTCCAGACGGATTCCTTGTAGCTGAAGAATATCAGCAGTTTTATGTGGCATTATTTGTGTTATGCATGCAAACCCACATAATGAATTTCTGTGGAAAAAGTCATTATACCTCTATTTGATTCATTCAGCCAGTGTCAAAACTGAACTGCAGATAATTTTTAGTTATGCGTTTTAAAGTTTGAACCATCAGGCTCTAAACATAACTTGCAGCTTAAATATAATTTTATATTTATATAAAATAGGGTCCAAAAGTCTTAGACTCCTAGTGAATTACAAATTAAATGATTAGAATAACAATTTGAGTAAAAAGTAAATCTTACCATTTCTGGTCTAGACTTTTGGATCCCACTGTATTACAGCTGATTCATAAAGGTATTGAATGTCACAATGATGATATGAGAAGCAATAAATTGCTTTTTTTTTTTCTGTGTAAACAGAAGTCTAATCAACCTCTCCTTTAAGCAAAACAATACAAAAATACAAAAGCACCATTCACTATTGTGCAAGGTGCAAAATATACTAAAAATACAAAATTCAATTGAAAAAATATATCTATTTATTTATTTGATTCCTTAAAGAAACTTTGGGAGTGAGAATAATCATCGTGTTTGAAGTGTTTTTACAGCTCAGTAGTTCAAGATAGAATGTTTTTGAGCTTTGTAATTGGCTTTGTAGCCCAGTGGATAAGTCACTTGCTCTACATGTGGAAGTCTGGGATTCAAGCCCAGCTCAGGAGTGCATGCTACTGCTCTGTGCTTCTAGACGCCGCTTTTAACAGTACATTTCCCTCAATTTAATTACATCCATTCTGTCATCACATCATTGAAACTTATATCATGATGTTGATAAAAACGAGACTATATACAGTTTATATTAAATGTATTTATTAATGGATTACAATTGCTTCTTGTAAGTGGTTTAATTCAATACTTGGGTATTGGTGGGGTCAACTTTAAAAAGTTAAACTAAAAACTATTTGGAGCACAGTTTGGAAATGGTGCCTGAGAAGTTTTAAAAAGTTTTAATGGAAATTAATCCGGTGAGTGAGTTAGCATGGAATAATGCCACATTAAATTATTGTTGAAAAACAGTTATATTGACAAGCTAGCATGACCACTGTCAGTATTTAACTTAACTCGCACTTCTCTTTTTGTGGCTAATACATCAGATGAATTCCTTTTTCGTCAACCTGTCAACAGCTTTACACGTGTTTATGGCTTATTTCATCTATCATGTTGTCAGAGAACACGGGAGAAAAATTCATGAATATGTTGAGAACAAATTTCGCCACAGGACTCCACTGACTTGAAATTCAGTGTATGTGGTTCCCAGCATCTTTCCTTGTCGTGTTGAAGCTGTGGGTGTGTGCATGGTTTCTAGAAGCTTGTTGGATACGCTGTGTGACAGCAAGGTCTGTCTCCATGTTGCACGTGCTTGTGATGCATCTGTCAATCAACATGAATTGGATGTTCTGCATAGAATAACTGGACGTGTTTAGAAAGAAATACTAACTTGCTTTTTTAGGATTGATTAAAAGGTTTGGTCAGTAACTGCACTTTTTCTGTCTGTTTTGCTCTGTGTCTGTGTGTGATGTCCGTGTGTGTGTGTTTGTGTGTTTAGCAGGGCTGGCCTGCAGGCACACAGCAGATCCTAATCCCATCTACATGGCAGCAGATGCCAGGCATGGCTATCCACGGCACCGGCCAGACTGTTCTCACTGACTCTCCTATGGGCTCTCTGCTGGCCGACAGCTCAGGCCAGTCAAGCACCAACTGGAGGTCAGCACCACCCACACACACACCCACACACCTACACCGTATGGCCAAAAGTATGTGGACAACTGACCATCACATATGTATGAGCTTGTTGGACATCACATTTCAAAACCATAGGCATTTCTATGGAGTCTCTCCACACCCTTTGCAGCTCTAAGTGCCACCACTGTTCTGGGAAGGCTTATTCAGTCAAGAGCATTCCTGAGGTCAAACTCTGATGCTGGACGAGAAGGTCTGGCTCACAATCTGTGTTCCAGTTTAGCCCCTAGGTGTTCAGTGGGGTTGAGGTCAGGGCTCTGTGCAGGCCAGTGGAGTTCCTCCACACCAGACTCGTCAAACCGTGTCTTTATGCACCTTACTTTGTGCACAGGGACACAGTCATGCTGGAACATAAAAGGGTCTTCCCCAAACTGTTGCCACAAAGTTAGAAGCATGTAACTGTCTAAAATGTCTTTGTATGCTGTAGCATTAACATTACCCTTCACTGGAACTAAGGGGGCGAGCCTAAACCCTGAAAAACAGCCTCAGGGCCATTATCCCTCCTCCACCAAACTTTACAGTTGGCATTGTGCATTCTGGTAGATAGCGTTCTCCTGGCATCCACCAAACCCACATTTGTCCTTCAGACTGCCAGATAGTGAAACGTGATTCGTCACTCCAGAAAACACATTCCTGCTACTCCAGAGTCCAGTGGCAGCTAGTGATCTTAGGTTTGTGTGCAGCTGCTTGGCCATGGAAACCCATTTCATAAGGTTCCTAATGCACAGTTCTTGAGCTTCGGCACTCTATGGCCTCGCTCTAGGTTTGTGTGGTCTACTGCTTTATGGCTGAGCTGTTTTTGCTTCTGGACACTTCTATTTCACAGTTTAGATATAAATTTTTGCAGCGTATGCTTTGATCAGCTCTGGTACTAATCTGGACATTCTAAAAGACATTATTTAGAGAATATTCTGTACCATACTGTTCCTGTTCCATTCTGTGAGCTTATCTAGTGCAGCTCAGTGATGTAGCAGTGGTGACACTGTTTGCGATTACATTCGGTGTTGCTGTACTTCACCAGGGGAAGACATGGCAGCCAGTGTGAGGTCACACAACAAGACTCTGCACAAGGGTGTCACGTGACTGCACATCCTCTCAACATGGGCGCAGCCAGCGGCCGAGCACAGCAGAGCGGGGTCAAGAGGTCAAAAGGCCGTCATGCAGAGAACAGAGCCAGGTATGTACTGCCTCATTCTCTCAGTTTTGTTCTCTGAGTTGTATCCTATAGCTCAGTGCCTTCAAGTCATTTTTTTATATGGCATGCACATGGAGTGGTGATCTACTGACCTCTGCGTGTTGTCCTGTTGCAGGCCCATCTCCTCCGGGGTACAGAACAGCGGTGACCCGTCTCAACCCATTGTCATTTCGGACACGCCCAGCCCAGCTGTTAGCATCATCACAATCCCGAGCGACACAGAGGATGAAGACGACACCAAGGTCCCACCCACCAGGTGACATAGACATAGCCACATACCAGTTATACAAACTTGGCTTAAAGAGGATTTTTTCAACAATTCTGCATAATATAAATGGTTAAGATGTAAATCAAGTCATTCAGAGTGGTCTGATATGAAATGTGCTGTGCTGGAGTCAGAGTCATTCAGAGTGGTGGTGATAGGAACCAGACGTCTCAAGCGTTTTAAGCCTTGATAAAGCTCCCCCACAGGAAGTTATAACATGAAACAGTTATGAAAACACAGCATGATGCCTGAGAGATTGCTTTACAGTATTATTGCTGCCACCACCACCACTGTAAAGAAATCCCAGTTGGTATATTCCTCTGCAAAGAATCATTTTCACATCAAACCACTCTGAATGGCTTTGTTCAAATCTCAATTATCTAATTATGCAGAAATGCAGAAAATCAGTGGAAGTCCCTGTTTAGAAGTGCTTTCACACATACCTAGTTTGGGGCAGGCCGGTCAAACTTTTTCTTTAGTTCAATCCATTTTAGCAGGTGTCCACACTTCACCTATTTTTGGTTGCTCACTAACCAATTGAACCAAACATTCACATTTTATGATGGTCTGCATTCAACATCAGAGCATGCTCTTCTCAGTGCATGTCTGCACTGCATTGCCTAATCTGCCTGTTTTAGCATTTCATTCTACAGGCTTCTGCTGATAATGGCAGATAAGCAGTTGCAAAGTTAATTTTGTCACATGGACCATGGAACATAATATAGATAGTTTGGGTCAAACATTTTGGCACAAATTTGTATTTTGGGCTAGAACAAGCGCTTTTGCTTACTGACTGAGTGAAAACTTTGTTGAAACATGCATGCGCGAAGAGTGTAGCTAGCCCTCAGTAGGTGGTGGTAATGCACCTTAAGTTGGCCTGCCAACTGCCATTTGTCCAATAGAAGAAGACTTGGGCACCAGCTTCTCATACTACACAGCGTTAAGTAAGCTCATGCTTCATGTGGGTGTGTGTGTCCTTGCTTGAAATATTATGCTATGGGTTGCTGTGTGAGAGCTAAGGGAGCTCTAGTGGCTCCTTGTCAGCTCTTTTTCAGCTGATAGAGCATGTTAAATCGGCATCACCTGAGAACGAGCCGTGGGAAATGTAAGAAAAAAAGAACGCATTTTGTAGCCAACTTTAAGTGCAGAGTAGCAGAGTTTTATCACCAGGGATGGGAATTTGTTATTCTGTTATTCAAATTTGTAAATGCAGACTGTTTCAGTATCAAAGAAAAACTATTTCTTTTTGTCTAAAATGGTGCACAAAGAGTTAATTAAACTAAGCAACGCAGAAGTAAATGAAGAGAGTAGTTCGATTGTTTGCTATTTAAGTGAACCTTTAATGAATGGCAGTAAATACTTACTATTTCCTGTTTAAACCATCACTTAAGTAGCCTTTTTTTCCCCACCCAGTAGCCAGCTGATGTGTTTTACTTTCGCTGTCTTACACTGAATTTAGCTTATGAGATGGTGAGATGCCTTTTAAATGATGTGAGATTGGTACAGAGTTGTTTGGAGTTTAGAAAGTAACGTAGATGTAAAGCAATGAGAATTGTGAGATTACTTTTCCTAGAAAGTAATAAGTATAGTGATCCCATCTGAGAGATTTAGTAATATGTAATGGAATATTTTTTTGAGTAACTAACCCCCACTGGTGAAGGGTCAGCTTCTTATTTTGGAGCATAACCATAGTTTTCTGTTCTTGGAGCAAATCATTCAAAACTTTGCAAGGCTAATTTGTTTGTTAGCTGGTTAACTTCCATGTGGGGTATGTTTGTATATTGCTGCCCCACCAACTCAAAATTGGCTTGACTGAAAAAATGCACATACTGCTAAAGGCTTTACAATAGTGGACCTACAATACTGGACCTACAATTGTGGGGTGTGGGGTTTGAGGTGTGTCATGTACTGACAACTGTGTCCCCCTCACTTTTGAAATGGTTGTTACACCCCTGGCGTCATTTACCAAAAGTTGCAGAGGAGACAGTGTGCAGCCTAGTCTTGCTTTCCCAAACTATCACTCTAAGCCTACCTAATAATTTCTCTTGTGCTTCTCATTGATATTGATCTCACTGCTCTACTTGGCTCTCTCAGTTGCAGTGTGAACCAGCGGGCGAATGTAATCAGCTGTGTGACGGTCCATGACTCGCAGGACTCTGACTCGTCCACCTGTAGCCCCCTCAGTCCCAAGCGTCTGCCCAACTTCGTCGAAAGCAGCAGTCACCTGTCCAAGTCGCTTGCTGTGGTCATGCCCTCGGTGAAGGCCCAGCCATGGGAGGGAGCACCACCAGGTCAGTGCCCACCCTAGATTAACACTGACATTGAGAGTTCAGTCAAAAGTTACGTTCATTGATTTTCTCATATATTTTGTGTTCGGTCTTTGTTTCAGAGCAAAGCTCTGCTGCCTGTGGGAAATCGAAGAAGAGTTCAGCTCTGCAGTCCGCTAAATCAGCAGTGTCCAACAGTGAGAGGCATCAGAGAGCAGTGTCCTCCAAGTCTCAGCCTCTCAACCTGAGCCAGGTAGACCAGCACAGTTCTGCTGCTGCTGAGCCATTAGTCTTCCACTTTAGATACACAGGTGTCTAGATGCTGTTTTGTTGAGCATCACATTTCAAGGTTGTGAACTATAAAAAGCTGCAAAGGAGTATTGACTATTATTTTATTTATTTATGTTACATTTTACACTGAGTTGCAAGTCCTACCTTGTGCCTACACTCATTGTAAACAGTTCTTGAGGTTCAGGCTCTTGCAGATAATTTGATACCAGTTTAGTGAGGTTGGATGAAAAACCTAGGACAAGTTTGTAAAAGGCCGTTTTGCAAAGTATCTCACATTTTTTTCTGGGGGTGGATTTTGATGAATTTTGCTTTAGTTTGAGCCGATAAATAGATCATTTTCCTTTGTATGTGTTGGTCTAGCCTTTGATCAGTGGTCAGTTTTCAACCCCAGGGCACTACTTGCTGGATCCTTTTTGTTGGCAGACTATTTTCAACCCAGCAGTGACACTGATGTGTTTAAAAACCCCACCAAAGCAGCAGTGCCTTATATACTCACACCAGCACTTTACACACAGTACCATGTCATGTCACTGCTCTGCTGAGATTGACCCACCAACCTTGTGCACCTGTATGGTGGATACACCCAAATAATAATTGGTCAGTGGTGGTCCTATAGTGGTCTCATTCCATTGCTGATAAATTGTGCAGTAAAAGATGGGCTACAGTCAGTAACTGTAAACCTAGAAAGTGCACCTGTATAGTAGGTTTTTCTGAGTATAGCCAGATTGATAAGCAGCACCATGTTACATCATTTATAACTCGTTCCTTACATGACATTTATTGAGATTTCTAAGGTCAGCTGTGTTGTGAATAGGCCTATTGTATTTCATAGCTCGTCTGAGTTTGAGCATGGCCAATGTATTGATTTGTTTATGTATATGTTGGCCTATATTAGTCCTCAGTATATACATCACGTATTTAAACAGAGCCAAATGGGCTGGAACAGAAGCACAGCTGTTGGCAGGCAAAACAACAGTAACTCAAACACACTGCTGTACTGGAACATGTTTGTTTGTTAGTCGAAGAAACAAACAGTCTGTAGGTTTTTTTTTTCTTTTTGTTGTATTTTTTGAGCTGAAATAAAATCTCTTATTATTCTAGCTGTTAAATCTAAAGGTTATCAGACGTCAGAAAAAATAAATATTGTGGCATACTGTGTATCGAAACTTGTTGTATTGTACTGTCATATCGCCCACCTGTAGTTGTATTGTTTATTTCTTTCCGCTTCCCACTGCAGGTGCAGCAGTCCATGATGTCATCATCCCACGACAGGTCAGGAGGCGGCTCCCTGCGGCGTCAAACCACCTACCCCCCATCAGGCCCCTCCCACTCGTACAGGCTGCATGAGGCCTCTCTCTTTAGCTCTGCCCCCAACTTGTATGCTTACCCCGCCTCCGCTGCGCTGGCCTCCGTCTCGCAGGCCGTGGACCAACTGCACAACTCAGCCGCCTCGTCCTCCTCTTCCTCCTCCTCCGGCCGTCACGCGCGTGCCGCTGGCCCCTACTCCACCTCTCTGAGCCTGCTGCAGAAGAGCAATGCCATGGGCCTGATGAGTCAGGCGTCCGGTCACTATCAGCAGCCGCCCCAGCAGCAGCTCCCTGGCCAGCCGTACCAGCGGCCAGCGGCTTACCCACTCAGCCAGCGGAAACTCAACCAGTACCCTTACCTCTGAAGCCCACCCACTGAGAGAGAGGTATGAGAGAGAGAAGTCCACATACTGGTGGAAGAGAGGAGAGATTTTGACATGGAAAATATACTTGATTATGGAAGCTGATTATTGTAGGTTTTTTAACATACTTTTAACAATGTATTTGTTTTTAAATGAGGTTTATTTTAGATCATTGGTTCCCAACAGTGTCCTGGTGTACCCCAGCCTCGCACATTTAGTGTATTGCAATAGTAATGATAATAATAATGTTTATAACACTTAATTTCAGTTATAGAACTGAAAGTGTTTCTTGCTCTAACACACCTGATCCAACTAATCAGGTAATCAATAAGGATGAGCGAATAAACACCATTCAATAAAATCTGGTGTTCGTTCGATTTTAGGCATGTACTTCAGAATTTAATCCAGTAAGGTGTACGCAAAACGTGGCTGTTTCTGCGGTTTTATGTACTCTTTTCTGTTAATAACACAAGCTTCAAACGTATTTTATAGAGTGAAAACAGTGATACTTTATAAAGTGAAAACATAGTGGTGCACAGAAAGCTCCAGTTCTACACACTGAACTTGATAACATGATTTTATTGTTGCCAACAGGGACGTGCACACATCGTTACTCTTCTGGTGGCAGTTATAAACAAGTGGCTTTCTTTTTTGGGCCTTGTGCCGGGTCCATCAGGTTCATGTGGTTCAAAAGAAATAAATCATTTATTATATAAATAATGGTTCTGGGACACAAGGAGGTCATGTTGCACCCATGTCAAGAAAAATCACAACATCTAAACAGCTAGAAGCAAAAAATATTAGGAAAAATAAAAAAAGATGTGAAATTGTATGATGTAGGATTGTAAGATCAGAATTGTAAGATTGCATTAGCAGCTGTTTAAAACGATGCGGTGACACTTCATGTGTGTTCAAAGAAATACGAGTTAGTCTTCACCCTCTCAGCTTAGTAGTATAAGCTCATAACAGGAGATCTGGCTAGCAAGTGGGAACATCTGAATAGCAAATATGGTAAAAGTACCCAGTCCTACTAATTGACAAGTTGAAGTGGGTATCATGTCGCAAGACATGATCTTGTAATGATAATACACATCTGGGAACAACTTCTTTAACTGCTGCAATGAAATCTGCCTCAAACACGGGTACCTACCCTCTAAAACCCTAAAAAACATTTCCGGAAATGCAGAAACGTTGCTTTGGCGCGAGGGAGGGGGAACCCATTCCCCCCTTTATGCAGGTAACAGAAATTCTAACAGAGTCTTACTTACACCAGCGAGAAATTCTGCCCATTTCACCAAACTTCAGCTATTATTTCATAAATTAATGTTTTGGGGTTGTTTAGCCAGTTGGCAGGTTTTTCTGCTGCTGCTGCCCTGAGAGACAGGAGAAGGGTGAAGTGGACGACACGAGACTTATGGCTGACAGGAACTGCAGCGCTATTCCTCCCATTGACTTGAATAGATGCGCTATGTTGGTTTACCTTATATACCATCTTTGCCTGAATTCCTCTAGTCTGTTTGGGGTACAATCAATAGCTCAAGCAAGGCAAGCTAATTAGAGAAACACTCTCCTTGGCTGATGGAAGAGCTAACCACAGTGTTTATTGTGTTAGAAGTTTATTGTTACTGCAGGTAATGTGTCCTCCGGCCGTGACAGACATCATTTGTTCCCCTAATAAGTCTATATTCCCACCCACATTTAGCCCAAAATTACTCATAGTTGTCCACAGACATTCTCGTTACAAGACTAGGTCCACAGTTGGGAAACTCTTGAGTTCTAAATCTATGTTGAGTCTAACGTGCAGTTGATGTGTGTCTAACATCTGGCTGTTTACATTTGTCGTTCTCTAAATTTTATGGAAGGTGTGACTGTATAAACAGTAATTATTATTGTTCTTTAGCACTCTTAGTGGCAGTAGGTGTTCAAAACACACATCTAATATCCTCACACTGTTGTTGAACACCTGTAGGATATGGGTTTTATTTAACAAAAGAATTGTGCTTTCTTTTAACTGCCTTCGTCTGTGTATTTGTTGTTTTATATGGCTTTTATTTTCAAGTGCCCTTGGCTATATTAGCTCTTACGTTTTAATGTATATTCTGTGTATTTCATTAACTTATGTTGCTTTTCTAGTGCCAGACTTAAAGTCTAGCTTTGTTAATGGATATTACTGTGCAGACAATTGCATGTTGTTTATGTAGAGTCATAGGCGCTACATAGTAAAATGTTTTAGGCTGTGTCAGCAAAAATGAGTAAATAAGAAAGAAAATGCATTGAAAACATAAATATGAGAAAAGTATCTGAAAACATGGAGGCTGATGTTGTGTAGAGTGGTGGAATATGTGAACTTGTTCAGCGTGTGCAGTGGAAGTAGCACACATTGTCAATAATACAGTAGCCTATTTAGATAGCACTTAAAAAGAACGGTTACCGTGGATGTTTACGCTAAAACGAACCTGTGCCTAGTATGATGTCAACCACCTTATGTGTGCTGTGCTGACTTTGATTGTTTTTTGTTCTGCTTGGGATGCAGTTGTAGGCCAGCTGTTCATAAAGCCTTGTAGGAGTTTACATCTGATCTAATCTGATCTAAGTAGCACTTTCCTGAAGAGCAGCATTTGTGCGGCTGTGTTAGCCTTTCATGATAACTGACATAAACTTACATAAATCTTTATAAAGGCTTATTCCAACAAGCATCAGTGGTCAGAAAGGCCATTGTTGATGACATTTCACATCAGCTAGTGCTACGACAACAAGCGCATGTTGGAATAAGTCTTCATAAACATCTATAGAGCTTTATGTCACTTGTTATGAGAGGCTTATGTAGGTGTCGTAAAGCCGTATGAAAGCTGCCTGTCAGTAAGTGTTATCCTGATCTTAGATCAGTGCTTCTCTTTGCAGCCTTTCTGGACGCAGGCCCAGTGCTACATGTTGGTCTTTCTTGTTTGTTTTCAGATGAATTCAGATCAGTGCAATTATGGATGTTTCTACTATTCTATCACAATGTGAAAGTGGAGTATAAAAGTAGATCAAATTACAGTAACTCTCCATAAATATACATATTGTATATGCACAATAAAAGTTTTCAGTGTACATTGGCCTGTCTTGTGTGAGTGCTTTCTTGTTTTTGAACATGCATTTGCTTTTTTTTGCCCATAAAGCCGTAATAGTGTGTCAGGGTTTGGAAGCTGTCAGTGTGCTTATTGTTTGCACTGCTAACTGGGAATCACAAACAGCCTTAAAAATAAAGGTGCCACAATGTGGCATATCTCAAAGGTTTCTTGGAGAGATGCCACAGAAGAATGTTTGGTTCCCTAAAGAACCATGTTTGAGATCTGCGAGTATGAAGAACCTTTTCAAGGTTTACAGAACCTTCACAGAATGTGCCCAATGAGAGAACAAACATGTTTGTACTATATGTAGCTTATTAAATTCTTATTTTATGTAAAAGTATTTTGGAAACAATATACAGTTTGAAGAGCCCATATTCTCATATTTTACTGTATTCATCTGAGGTCTTATCATATGATGATTTGGGTGAGTTCATGTACCCAAAACACTTAAAATTGATTTTTACAGGATTTCCAAATTCTCTTTTATGTAAATGATCTCTGTTCTGATTGGCTGCTCTATATTGGGCCTTATTTAAGCAGTCCTGTATTTTGCATCTTTCAAAAAGCAGTCCAGGCTGAAACATCCCTTATAACATCACAGTGAATGGGAGGAGCTAAACTGCTGTAGGTTTAATAGGTAGATAAATGCAAATGCATTACTTTTCATGACATCACAAAAACAGTCATTTCAAATTGGGCTGTTTTGGGAGTTTAGTCTCCATATATGGACTGGAGAGGGAATGGTGTGATTATTTATAGAAGTACCTAACTTCTTTATGTGCTGTTTTGTCTTTTTGGCCCTTGGCCACCACAAACATTAACCTTCAGGCCCCCAAGACGAAAAATTTGGGCACCTCTGCTCTACAACAATTCAGGGGTTCTTTTGAGGACTTGAATATCATGTGAAGGTTCTTTTAAACTTTTTATACAGTTGTTTTTTTTTTTATCTTTACACTAAGTTGTCATTTATAAATGGTTCTATAAATAACCTTCCACTGACAGGTTCTTTAGGAAACCAAAAGAGTTTCTTCTATGGCCTTTTTGGCACCTCTGTTTGTAAGTGTATTGGCTGTTGTAACAAAACCTTCAACAAAACCTGTTCTCAAAGTCATTTTGGACCACTTCTTTTGGACATTCATCATGAAATGCACAATGTAAAAAGTGACTGGCTTGTTCAAATAGCACTTGTTTTGAGGTGTTGATATGACAGTGACAATGTTACCAAATCATTTTAAATGACTGAATAAAACAGTTACTAAAAAGAAAAAATTAAAAAACTAAAAAATGATCAGACATTTCTAGCTTAAAGTTGGAGTTCAACAGATTTTTCCAATTTTTTGCCTTTTTCTGTTGCTGAGATGTAAACAGTCATTCAGAGTAGTTTGATGTAAACAGCTCTGTTCCAGAGAAACTTACAGTGTCAGGTTTGTTCACAGTGGTGGTGATGGGAACCAGACGTCTGAAGAGTTGAACGCCTCACAGGAATAGATGGTGCCTGATGTCTGACACATTGCTTTATGATTGTTATGAGAAGGTTTTGTCCTAAAACATATTTTTAAAATACAATTATGGTGGAGTGGTACATGCAGGGCGTTGTGAGGCAAAATAGTCCTCAAAGGAAGCATATTTACTACTATTTCACCAACGTCAACATCAAGGTTACATATGAAAGCTCAGAAGACCCTGGAGGTTTTGGATAGTAAATAAAATGGCTATGTTTGTGTTGTAGGTATAGAGACCCCGGTTCCTATCAGAGTTCACTTGAATGACTGAATGCTGAGATGTAAACAAAGTGTGAATTATATATGTAGAACATTTGAAAAAGTAGTGGAATTCACCATTTAATTTTCATCAACAACCCAGAATGTTGTAATAGTTTTCCCTGTGTGAGCTGAGCAAGGCTGTTTTACACCTAAAGCGAAGTGACATTGGGAGACTGTGCGGGCGCAGCTGCCTGTTGTCCCGCCCCGCACCTCCCCAAACCCCACCCGCCCCGAACCTCCCCAAACCCCACCCGCCTCTCCTCCAGACTCAGCAGCCAAGCTCAGTGAGAGCGGCTCGCCGGAGGAACCGCACAGCTCATCTGTCAAGCCTTAAAACAGCAGAGCCTTGTTTCAGCTCCAGTTCAGGGTTCGGCACTGCTCTCTTTGTATCCACACAGCTTTAAACTGCTGTCATGTTGCTGGACAAACCTTAAAAGAGTCTGATAGCGCAGTCATACAGCTCCCTCTAGTGGATGGAGGTTGGCACTTATTTCAGAAAAGTCATGACGCTCCTGAGGCGCTTAAAGCCACACTCTTAAAAAAGATGGCTCTTTAAAGGTTCTTTAGTAAAAGTGAACGGTTCTATCAGAGAACTTGTAGTGAGGAGAATAACCACTCTGCAATGGTTTCTCAGACGCTAGAGGGCGCTCCCGGGTCCAAAATGAATGGATTAAGATGAAGCATTTGAGCAAAATCATAGTTTTATAAATGCTTAAATATTTTTAATTAAAAAAATATATATATACATTAATTTCCTGAACACTGAATATCGTAAATATTTTTACACCGCTGTTATATTTTTAAGTGCTTTTAAACTCGAGTTAATAGGAGTTCAAAACGGCGCCTCATGTATGTTCATGACGTCAGTGAGCGCGAACAGCCAATGAGCTGCTCCGCTCGCCAACCAATCAGCACTCAGTATCAGCAATGCTAGCGTCCTGTTGCCCAAAACCCGTTTGCTGTAGAAAAACGGAAACATACAGGTGAGTTTTATTTGCTGTTTTAGTGAAATACATCCTCCTGCTTTCTAAAACTCTGGGCAAGTGATTAGAAACTATTTTAATTTTTCGTTTTTAGCCGTTTATCTCCATTTACTCCAATTCATTGGGAGTTTTGCAGCCCTGTTTGTGATATAACGGGGGAAATAGGAAGAGGCCTGGCTCCCCTTAAACTAGCTCTGGTTCTATTTAGAGCCATGAGTTCTATATAGAGCAATTTCATGCTTAAGTGGTTCTTCAGATTGATCGAGAATGTGCTGGGCCCTATATAAGACCTTTCTGTAAAAGGTTTTATTTAGCACCAAAAAGTGTTCTTCTGACAATAGCAGAACCTTATATAGTGCCAAATAGAACCATTTTCAAAAAGGTTCTGTATAGAAGCATGCACAACACATCATCCATCAATCTGAAGAACCATTTCAACAAGCAAAGAACCATTTAAGCATGGAATGGTTCTATATAGAACTCATTGTTTTAAATAGAACCATTCCCTTTACTAAAGAACCCTTGAAGAACCATCTTTTTACTTGCCTCAAATTGCAGATAGACAGTGTGACTGTATGTGCTGTGTATCTACAGAACTGGACCACAGTACAGGCAAAATTCATGCTTCAAGAAGGCAGCTGTTTTAGTCATGCAGCGTTCATGTTTGTCCATGTTTGTCTGAAACTGCATTAAGTCTATTTGAGGCTATTGAACAATATTGGAGTCAAGAAAATCTGCAGATGACTCAAGAATCCAGTTCAAACGATGCCGACTAGTCACTGCAGCCATGTAGCTAACTATTACTTGTTAGCTACGTTAGCATAGCTACATTAGCTTAGCTCCAGCGCAAAACTAAACAAACAAACTTAAGACACCAAACATATCTTGGTTACTGAAACAAATGTGGGGTAAAATTTCATAAAGGTTTCATTAAATGCAACAGGGAGTTTTTGCTATTTGCTGTTCTTTCCATTTTGTTGTTTGCTACATTTTTTTCAGATTTTGTTTGATTTTGTTTGACCTCTGTTTTGCTGTCTTGAGCAAATGAAACTGAATAACCAGTTAATGCACACAAGTTCATTTAAATTCAAAATGTATCTCACACCGTGTTAAGCTGTAAAATATAGCGTGATATCAATAGGTGATGTGCCAAATAACCTATAGCCCATACAAGAAAACAATTAACATTTTCTCAAGTAAAATAATTAAGACTTTTTTAAGAGAACATCTGAGAATTTCTTTGAGAGTTTTAAGAACAAAGGGCTTCACTCACCAACTGTTCTTAAGAAGACATTTCTTCTTAAAACCCACTTACACAGTTTTCAGGAGGATTCTGACATTCTTAGTTGGGATTCAATCCCAGAAAGTTGGGACAGGATGTGAACTGCAACTAAAAACAAAAAGTAGTGATTGTAAATCCACTTTGACCTGTATTTTAAAAAACAGAACAAAGACAAGATAGTTGATGTTTTATCTTCATCGATCAATGTCATTATCTTCTGTAAATGTACGCTCATTCTGAAACTGATGTGTGCAACACGTTACAAAGAAAGTTGGGACAGGGGCGAATTAAGACTAGGAACATTATGAAATGCTCAAAAAACCATCTTGAACATTTGATGCAATCGTGCTTAGGTATAAAGGGAAAAATGCAGGAAAGGCCTTGTCCTGAATGAGTAAGGATGGGTCAAGGCTCAACACTTCGCAAAAATCTTTCAGCAAAAAAATCTGAACATATATTGCAAGAATTTTAAGTATTTGACCCTCTTCAGTGCATAAAATCGTCAAAAGATTCAAGGAACCTTGAAAAATATCTGTGTGTACAGAGCAAGGCAGAAAACCAAAAGTGAATGCATGTGACTTTTGATCCCTCTGACAGCACTGCTTTAAAAACCTGCATGCCTCTGTGATGTACATCATCGCATAGGCTCAGGAATGCTTTGACAAACCGCTGTCAATAAACACTGTACATCACTGTTCACCAATGCAAAGTAAGACTGTACTCTGCACAGCAGAAGCCATATGTCAAAAACCGTCCAGAAACGCTGCCAACTTCTCTGGACTCGAGCTCATCTGAAATGGACTCGTACTCAGTGGAAATGTGTACTGTGGACTAATAAGCAACCTTTCAGATTTGAAACTGCTTATGGAAATAAAGGATGTTTTGTTCTCTGGGCCAAAGAAAACAATGACCATCTGGTTTGTTACCAGGGTAAAGTTTAAAAGCCAAGGTCTGTTACAATATAGGGGTGTATTAGTGCCCTCTGCATGGGTAACTTGCACCGTTAACACTGAAATATGTATGCATATTTTGGAGCAACATTTGCTGCTTTTTAGATGCCGTCTTTTTCATCCATGCTTATTTCATCATAACACCAAGCCACATTCTGCACGTGGTACCACAGCATGGCTGCATAATCAGAGAGTGTGGGTGTCAGACTGGCCTGCCTGTCGGCTATAGAAAACATGGTGCATTATGAAGTGCAAAATATGTCAACAAAGGCCTCATGCAGTTACACAGCTGAAAATTGTATAACTGAAGAATTGCATTCAAAACTTTCAAAACTGGGTCAGTTCATGTCTTCAGTCCCCAAACTTTTATTAACCCCTTTAATGGCCAGGGCCACAGTTTTATTAGACTCTTCTATAACCTAAGAATTGCTCAGCCAGTTTGCACTGAAGTCCCCGTAGTTACTGAATAATCAGCCTTAGTGTGTAATAAGCCTGGGATTTTAAGCAGTTAAGTGCTGTTAAAAGGAAAGATGATGTAACACAGTGGTAAACATGCTCCTGTCCCAAATTTTCTGGAATGTGCTGCGGGTGTCATATTTGTAATGAGCATAGATTTACAAAAGTTTATAAGGTAAAATATTAAATATTGTGTTCTTGTACTGCTTTCAGTTCAATAGACGTCAAACAGAATTTACTAATCACTGGAACTTTTCTGGAATTGGGTTTGTAAAGCAGTGTTATGTCACCATTGCAGTTAACTGTCATGATAGATGTCCTAATGTTTAATGTCATGACATGGTTATATTACTGAACTAAGTCTATCATGACAATTCATGACAGCGTATGACTTCTGCTATGGCAAGTTTATGGCAAGGTTATGCCAACGTTATGTAGCAGCATTCAAGTGTTACCATTTTTTCCTAGGAAAGCTTTCATGATTCCGGCCCCAGGTTCAAACTCTCCATAATACACTGATTTCCTTCATTTCAGTAGATAAAATAATTCAAAGCTTCAGTGTTGCGCACAGTGAAAACACAGCAATGTTACTGACAGACTTTAGTAGAGAAGCTGACCGCTATCACTTAATTTCTACTGTTAACCCACAGTTTCCAGTTGACTGTATGTTTTAACCATACAAGCCCAATCAGGGTTTAGTGGCCGGAATAAATTTTTTACCTGAAAAAAGGAGAAATTTGGCATCTCAGTTGTTCACAAGTAAGGTATGATATCCAGTGTTCTATCTAGTCATTGCCTTGCTGAACTGACATTGTTGAATCCACAGAAGATTTCATTATGGCTGGAAAAACCTTAATAAATATGACCAGAAAAAAGATTTTTTCATTGTAGTACCCCATCAACAATTTCTCATTTCACGTATCTCACAAAACACCTGATGAATAGTAGTGTTTATTAAAACAAGCACCATTCTGAATAAAACAGATTCATCATGTCCACGTGTCGAGGAGGCATAAAACTTTACCCTCATGCAAAGTTCACTGTAAAATGTACAGGTATCTTTATTGCGGAGAAGATCAGATTCCTTTAAATATTAATGTACTTAACTCTCTGTATAACCCCTTTTTTAATCTTATTGCACCCTACCCTTCGTTATATTTTCATTATTATTTTCGTTAAATGTATTCATCGGTATACTGTAAAGAATTCTTTTATTCCCTGGTTGGTGTGCCTTTGTTAACTGTTTGGTTACCATTGGTTTTTCTTCCGTAAACATCACCACGACGACGGTCCTTTTTGTTTGTTTGTTTTTTTTTCGTTTGTTTGTTTTTTGTTTTTGTTTTTTAAAGTCAACATACTCAGTATAGCAGTTCGTTAAACCACACTCCCTTAGAAAATGAAACATAGTAAAAACCATACTGGTAGAAAACAACACCGGAGAGGGAACGAAATAAAAACGCATGTGCTAGATCGCAAGAAAGGAGTTCTCTTTGCGGTTCCTTTTTCCCAAGAACCATGTAGTTCCAGTGTTTATGCATTTTAGCGTGTTCAGATTCTCCTCAGTCATTTCAAGGGGTGGCTTGTCAGGAAACAAAAGCGAGAATTAATGGGAAGTCTTTCGCTTCTGTTGGGCCCTCCCAGGCTATCCCTCAAAGCTCAAAGCGGCTAGTTTGTCTCTGCAATCCCGCTTGGGTCTGGCCTCATACGGTGGTGACCCGCATGACCACTTCGCGGTTGGTGGCCGTGCCCAGGCGTCCATCGCTGGGCCGGATCTGGCTCAGAATGTGCAGGATGGTGTAGCCGCAGTGGTGGTTGAGGATAGTCCTGAGCCTCCGCACCCGCTGGCCACCCCCCCTGCTGCTGCCGCTGGCCAAACCGTGCGTGTTGCCGCGGGAACCGCGGGCCCCAGCCTTACTGCTGGAGCTAATGGGGTCCCCCAGGTCCTTGGCCTTTTCATAGTTCAATACTTTCCACTGTTGGTTGACGGCCTGCCAGCGTTTGAAGATCCTGTACACTGACGAGCCCTCGTGGATAATAAGGCCTAGAGGAAACATATATGTATGGATTAACATAGATAAGGATCAGTGAGCGCACAATACAGATCAGCTTGCAGAATTACTTAATTTTGTGTTAAACAGGATTACTCAAACAAATGTGAAAGATTCTATATAGAAGGCTTAGCATAATCTCCTAATAGCTTGTAATACTTCACAAGTAAAATAAATCTTGTGCTGTTGTTGGACTTTGCAGTGCACTGACTGTAAGTCTGATACATGGACCCAACCTTCTAATACTTACATTCACAAAATACACAGTATGTACAGTACTGTGCAAAAGTCAGAGACCATCCTTTTATTTAATTTCCAAACGGCCAAAAACAGCCATTATGTACAAGTTGTTCTTTTTTCAGTGTCAGGAAAAAAGGCAGGAAACGTGTTTAACAGAAAAAGCATCAGACACCAGCAAGCAAGCAAAGTTTATGTATACAGCGCTTTTTACAACAGGTGTGGTCACAAAGCAGCTTTACAGAAAAATCTGGGTCCAAGCCCCCATGAGCGTCGCCAGTGGCGACAGCGACAAAGAAAAACTCCCTAAGAGCAAGAGGAAGAAACCTTGAGAGGAACCAAGACTCAGAAGGGGAACCCATCCTCCTCTGGTCGACACCGGATAGCAAACAGTGTTAGTATAAAGTACTATAGTACAAAACGGGGAAAACAGGTGGAGCAATGGTTAATTAGTTTTAGTTTATGCAGCAGCAGCAGCATCATCGGGAGGGTCAGTTCATGAGGGTGAGGTTTGTACAGCATGAAGCTCAATGGTGGTCAAGCCGGTCCGGAAGGCTGGTGGCACTAGGTCTCATGAAATCTAGCTCTATTTCATTTTTAATATTTAAACCACTCTTTACTTTTGTCTTTACTCTGTTACCATTTTAACTCTTCTATCCTTCCATTATTAAAATTTAATGGCTTCCCAACAAAAACTGTTCCCAATTATTACTAAACATTCACACAAGAACTACACTTGCAAGACCTTTTGGACCACCAAAAGTGTACTTAAAGCTTTTATCTTTGAGAGAGAGGAGAAAACCAAGCTCCACTTGTGCTTCAGATCTGAAAATTTTCACAGGTGTTTCTGTTCATCCGTCCACTGTGAGAAGAACTCAAGGCTATGAATCTGAAAGGATGTGCTGCTGTCAAGAAGCACTTAATGAGAAAAAGAAACTACACCAACTTTGCATTAGAACACCAAAACTGGATTCTGAGATGTAAAGTTTTAAGAACATGGACTGATGAGTCTAAATTTGTGTTTGGGAGTACTTGGATAAAATGCAACCAACTTCTAAGACTGAACTTTGGAGGCAGAGGCATGGGAAAACAAGAAAGCAAGATTTCTTTGTAAAAACAAAGAATTGTTTCCAAATCTTTTGTTTTCTGCTTTTATTTTTCAACCTTAGCTGCGACATTTAAAGCGCTGAATTACTGGAGTTATTATATATTATTATGATTATATACGCAATATATTAACAATAATAATGCAATAGCTTATGTAGTGAGTGAATTCAGTGCCAGTTTCTATGAAGTGCTTTGCATCTAAAAATCTATCATCTTTTCTGACTCTGTTATATGCTTTAATAGGCATACAGCAGATTTAATAAGCATATAGCAGTAGGAGTGTACAACATGGAAAGTGCTATTTAGGTATCTAAAGGTGCTTTCCAGTCAAACATACAATAAATAAACAGCAGAGCAAAAACAACAATAAATGGCAAGGCTGTTTACTATGCCTGAAATCATTACATACTTTACAGTAATTTATTAGCAGCAGAGTTGCCCATCAAGTACTGTAAATTTAACTGTAGTTGATGCACAGTCTGCTGCCAGTAAACAGTAAAGATTGATCTGTTTTTTATAGTGTGATGTCATCATGTCTTCTAATTTAACAGCACATGCTGCAACATTAAAGTTCTAATGGACACATATATGGGTAACAACCACACTAATGACAGTAACGGTCAGTAGTGATGTCAGCATCCCTTTAGTCATACTTATGATCAGTCATAAGTCATATACTAATCTAATGAGACTCTACTTTACCTATGCAGACGATGTCCATGAAGCCGTACATGCCGTAGCAGATTTGGAAGAGCAAGTCCTGCCGCTGCCATTTGGCCGAGGGGCTGAGAGAGGACCACACAAGCCAGGAGATACTGGCGATGAGGAAGAGTGAGCCCAGGATGATGGCCGCAATCTGGACCTTCTCGATTACAGTCAGAGAGATGGCCTGCCACTGAAATGTGAGAGCCACACAGAGGGGCAAGGTGTCAGTGCAATATGGTTTAGCCTCACTAGGCCAACTGCTGTTTTACTGTTATGTTTCACAGAGAACATACATGGGTTTAAAGTTTGTTTCTTTAGTTTTGCACTGGACCTACAATGCTAATGTCGCTACAGTGCTGCTTGAAAGTTTGTACACCCTTTTTCATTTGTGTATTTCTACATAAATGTAACCTAAAATATGATAAGATCTTCATTTACCCCCTAACAGTAGATAAAAAGACCCAATAAAACAAATAATACAAAAAGTATATAGTTTATCATTCATTTACTGAACTAAGTAATCATACATTAAATTTCTTAGATGGCAAAAGTATGTGGACCTCTGCTTTAGGAACTGGCGTGACCCCCCCTGTGCAGCACTCATTTCAACCAAATGATTCCTGTGACTGTTGATCAGCCCGGCACATTAACTTGGAGGAACCTTGGCCCATTACTCCTTACAGAACTGCTTCAACTCTGTTATGTTGGTGGGCTTTCTTGCATGAATTCTGTTGAGGTTCAGTTTGCAGATTTTTGCCCTGACACACTCCTGAAGAATTTCTTTACACAATCAGATAATAATCATTAATAGCATATAATAATTTAAGCCATAAAGATTCATTTTTGCCTTATCGGTCCACATAACATTATTTTAGTCTTCTGGCTTATACAGGTGGTCTTTAGGAAACTTTAAACAGGCAGAAATGTTCCTCCTGGGGATTAGTGGATTTCTCCATGCTATCATTCCATACATACTGTTCTTATTCAGTGTTTGTCTGATTGTCATGAACACTGACATTAGCCAGTGTAAGAGAAGCTTGCAGATCCTTAGAGGTTACCCTGGGGTTCTTTGTGATCTCCCAGAATATTCTTGAATTTTTGAGTCCTTTTTGTTGGATGGCCACTCCAGGGAAGGGTAACAACTGTGTTGAATTTTCTCCATTTTCTCCTGACAGTGGACCGATGAAGTCCAAACTCGTAAGAAATAGTTTTGGAACCTCTTCCAGCCTAATGAGCTTTGGCAAATCATTTTCTGAGGTCTTCAGAAATCTCATTTAACTGAGACATGGCATGCACTAACAAATGTGTGTGCTAAAGTCTAGACTTTGATGGTAAGGATTCAGGATGATGTTTTTCAAATAGGGTAGGGTCAGCTACATTCACAGATACCAATTGATTGCACATCCTGACCCTCATTATGCCCTATACCAAACTGATAATTCTATAGGTTCACATATACTTTTGCCAACAAAGACATTCAACATTAGATCACTTTGTTCGATAAATGGATTGCTTGTGTTATTTGTTTTATTGTGTTATTTTCTTCATTGATTGTTGACTGAAATGAAGATATGATCATATTTTAGGTCAAATTTATGTAGAAATTCACAAAATGATTAAGGGTTTACAAACCTTCAAGCAGCACTGTAACATGTAACAGAAGCATAACCAATCAGCATAGTGCAAATTGTATGCTTAAATCATCACACATTTGCCTCAGACTATGTGGAGTTCAGTAACTCACATAGACTTGTGTTTGCTGTTTCTGACAGTATGACAGATTGTTATTTGTAAAACTTTAGTTTACAGTCCCTGAAATACTGACTCAATATTTTGGGTGACATGATGGTAAATTCAAAGACAGGCTACATAAATTACACTGAAACGCCCAGCTGGGTGAGGTACAGACTCCACAGACGTGCAATCCTTTGGGTAATAATACTGAGTAGTTATATGACATCTTTGTATCTTTGTACGCTGCTTAATACATACACCTTAGGGGACTGTAAAAGAAGGCAGAGATGGCAAGCGCTTCAATCACAAACACTGCTTAACTGACTACTGTTTTAACAGGAACAGTGACTAAACTGAGAGCCTTTAGATCTTTGGGAAAGACATTAGTTAATAAGGCTAGAAATTTTAGTTGAAAGTACACACTCAGTGACCGTGATGCTCGTGCTTTAGTGTGATATGTAAAGAGAAATCAGAAGAGCAGCTGTTCCTCAGGTGACTGAGGATGTCAGTGCAGGACACGATGAGATCAGCGAGAGCAAAACGTTGACTACTTAGAGAGGGATATTATAGTAGGGCTGCAGTGCATAAACCCTTCATTACACAGACAAATGAACATTTGAACGGTGTGGTATAAAAGCATCAGCAATGGTCTACAGAGATGTGGAAACAAGTGATCTGATCAGATGAGTCACCCTTCGCTGTATTCTCTACAAGTGGCGGAGTGCATGTTGGGAGTGGCCTCTTCCAGGATATCAATGCACCGATCCACAGGAGCGGTCACTGATTGGTTTGATGAGTATAAAAAGGGTGTAAGTCATATGCTATGGCCTTCGCAATCACCAAATCTCAACCCAGCTGAACATCTATGGAACATTTTGGACTGACATATTAGGCAGCGCTTCCTACCACCATCATCAAAACATTAACATTAAGGGAATATCTTAAGGGACTATCTTTTGGAGGAAGGCTACAGTGCAGTTACAGTTGTAGACTCCATGCCAAGGTACTTTGAAGCTGTTCTGGAGGCTTGTGGTGGCAGAACACCTTACTAAGCTACCTTGTATTGTTTTTTTTCCTATAATTTGTCACCCGTCAGTATATGCAAAAATTTCAAATTTTGCCAAACGATACCTTTAACAGCTGCAGACAAAAGTCGTATTTTGATGCATAGTTTTAAAAAAAGCATGACATATAATTTGACTGTTGTATAATAATGTATGATGTCACTAAATATCATCATAATAAAAGTATAACTACCCATACTTTACAGTTAAAACCATCATTTGGTTACAATCATCATTACAATTTAATGTTATGTATAACTGAATATAATGGCAGGCTATATTCATGTGCTGGCAGACTGTTCCAACATAATAAGTTAAATTCAGCTCATAGTATTAATGCTGGAAGTTGAGCGTGACCCTAATGCTTAATAGTGAATCACGTTGTCCTAATTGCTGGACTTGTGGGTAGTTACTGGCCTGTTTCCAATCCAAAGAAAAATGAGCCCTTACTCACTTCCCCTGCTGCCTTTGACTCAGCAAATCCATGATGCATAAATGCTTATGATAAGAAAGCAAGAAAGCTCAAAGAAATATGCCTGAATATTAGTCATAAAATGCATGTCATTATCTGGAAATAGCAGGGTCCTTCAAAGAACATCCTTTACGAATGAAAACCACACAAAATGGATTTCCTAAGCGGAACCAGCAGCTAGGGGAAATAAAAGTGGGTCTTGTTTTTCCTGAATTTGAGCCAGACTGTTTACTTACCTGCAGTGGGTTTTTGGTGCTGATAGCCAGCACTTGGTATTTAAAGTAGCAGAGTTCACAGCTCCAAGAGCCTCTCTCGCTGATCCAGCGAATCAGACAAGGCTGATGAGTGCAGCGCACTGAGCCGTCACAGCGGCATGGGCTCAACAGCTCCCCCTGTTGGACAGAGGACATGGTCAAACACAAAAACTAACTAACGACCTTTAATGAACATTCTTTAGCCTTAAACTTGTTTATCAAATTAGCATTTGTAATTTCACACTCTAATAAGTCTACATTCCCACCCACACAAAATCTCTCATGTTCTTGTTATGAGATCCCATAATTCTAGCTGTTGCCACAAGGCAACAATATCTCTCATCATTTTATATGAATCCCATAACATCTAAACTGGTTTTATTTAAGGAGAAGAAACTGTAACCTCTAACAGATATTGTTGAAAAGAATCTTCAGCTTATTGCGTAAGAACATTTATTTACACACACTTCGAGAGGGCTTCAGTTGTCTAGCCTTGCCATGTGACGTGAGTGAGAAAAAATAAGTGAAGACTGCAACAGGAAGGCAAGTAATAAAGGAAGGCAGAAAAAACTATACCATCATACACAAAAAGCCTTCAGTTTCCCAAAAGAAACAAATAAATAAATGTTGCCATTTGGCAACGCCATACAGTGAAGGGTTATTGGTTTTCAGCCTCACAATTCCATATCAATGCATTTTTAATTTGTACTTGTATTTGTATTTAAACAGAGAAGGAAAAATGTTCAAAAGCTACTGTCTTGTTTGAGTGGAAGCATGCTTTTTAGAGCAAACACTAATTTAAGACCACGTCCCTTTATGCACATCCCAACCGTAAATATTACAAATGAAATGGCAAAACTGGTCTCAGGTCAGCTTTTAATACAGCATATACTTCCACACAGTGTTGTGCTGTCAAGCCTTTCAGCCTGGCTTTTAAAGTGTAAGATTGTGATTTCTTGCATTAGCCCGCGGCTAAGCACATCTGTTCCGTTCAGACTCAGCCAAGTGTGAGCCCAGCTCTGCACACTTAGCAGCAGGACTCAGGTATGTGAGCATCAACCAGTAGCTTCACAGCTTCACACCCAGCTGCGTTTGCTGCTGGCGCTGAGCTTCTGAAGCATCAGTTAACAGATGTTAAAGAAAGAGTTCATATGATTTCCCTCTACAACAATGTAGTCATCAGCCAAAAAGTTTTCTTGTTTAGTTTTGTGCTGAAGTTATGAGGCTAATGTAGCTAACAAGCAAGCTTTAGCCTCGCTAATTAGCACTGAGTGTCAAATTATACCCTTTCCTCAAACCATATTGAGTTGTAATCTTAAATAGACTTGCTTATATGCTTTCTGGAACTGAGTGACATACTATCTATAAAAATGGACAAAACGATGCCTAAAAAACAGTGTATAGCTAAAAACAGTAGTAGCCAACTTGAAGCCTGAAATTTCTCTGTACTTTTGTTCATTTTCATAGACAACTTTATGTCCTCAAGTGTCAGAAAACACTCAAAGCAAGTCCATTCAAGATTACTTTACAACTTCACATGGTTTGAGGCAGATGTGTGATGATTTAGGCATATAGTTGGCACAATGCTAATATAGGGCAAAATCTACACAAGCAGACCTCGTACACAAAGCATGTCTTGGGGGAAAAACTGGAAATTTGCCTTTAAACTGGTAGTACTTCAGACAAAAGACAAAATCATGGTTTTAGGAAGTTTGAATCCTTTCTTTGATTTAAAGCAGCGTCCTACATTCCTCTCCTCCTGAGGACTCCGTGACCTTTCGGAGTAGCTACCAGGCGAGCCAGAAGACGCGGCTCAGAGTCAACAGAACAGCTGGACTTACGTAAATGAGACATTACTCATGCAAGCGTTCATTGGGAGCAGTAAATCAATGTACGTTCGCAGCATGGCGGCCCCCGTTGACGCACGACCATAACCCGCAGGCCAGCGGCCTTTTGCAGGAGGCCAAGCCAAGCAAAGTACATACAGGTTAATGAGAGGTGAGCAAGCCTAGCCTCCACTCTTCAGTCAGACAAGCAATCGATACAGGCCTCTAAAACACCTGCAGGGAGACAGACAAGCTGCGCCTCCAGCACAGAATAACACGGCACATTGTACTGGTAAAGGTATTCGCACAGTGCTTATTTATTGTGGTCCCAAATGTTCAGACATGCATCCGGTTCAATATGCAAAGAATCGTGAGCACTGTGAATACAGAGAGGCACTGTTGTCTCATCCTCTATCAGGAACCACAATAAAGATTAGAAGGATAATTCAGTCAAAAAATGAGTTATAATGTAGCTTTCATCTAGGAGAAAAGTCAAAACACAAATAGATGTTTTTGCCTCTGAGCCAATTCAGAGCACTCAGCAGGTACTTTTATTGAACACGCTGCACTGCTCCTCATTATGGGTATATCATTTATATATGAACTACATACATGAAAGCTTCTGAAGCATGTCTCTGCACAGACTGCTTCTAAACAGCAGTCTGAATCAATCAATACTGTTCGATACTTCCAATCCATTTCCTTTAGGAAAAAAATTTTGGCGCCTGCAGGCAAATTTCATGTTTTCAGGGATGGATTCCTGACTGGGCCACTGGGGCCATTGTCCAGGGACCTCTGACTGCCAGGGGCCTTGGTGGGCCTTAGACTAAACGTTAGTTGCTATTGCTACGAAAGTAAGAGAGAAATCTTGATTCAGTCTAGGGGTGGGCAATATGACAATATTTTATCGTTATCGTGATAAGTTATAAATTTTCTGTGCATATCGTGGATATTGTCAGTACTTAACAGAACACTGGCTAACTACATGTTTCATTACAAAATGAGCATAATTAGGTCTGTTTAACTAAATTTAGTGCAGTTTGTAAAACATTCATTGTAACATAAAACATTCAAATCATTGTAGTTGTATTTATTATTTATTATAGTATTTTTTTATATGTGGCCATTTTTAAAATGTATCAAATGATTAAATGTCAGAAAAACGTATTGCAATGCATGTTTTGGTCATAAAAACGTCTTGAAGCATCATGATATCATATTTTGCTATATCGTCCATCTATAATTCAATCTTATATAAAAATCTTACACCAAAATTATTACAATGTGGACAAAATAGGATATTGCACATTAATGAGGATAATTTTTATTTTTAAAATAATAAATAATGAACAATTTTCTAGTGTCATGCAAAGTGGCTAAAAAGACAAACGTGAAATATTGTTTAATCTGACTTTTCATGTCATTTTTTATGTATTTTTATTTTTATTATTTTATTTACAGAACTACTGGAGTACAGGGGGGCCTCCAAAGACTCTTGTGTGAAAACATGAAACAGCCTAAAATCGTGAATTTTGTCAAACTGATGATGCAGAGAGATACAGTGCTGCACTACAGAACACTGCATAACACAATAAATAATGACCAATTAAAAAAAAACACTCAGCCTGCATACATAAAACAGAAAATCTTCAAATGGCTGCAAAGTCAGACAAGTAAATAGGTGGAAATGAACAGAATATGCCTTCAGGATTTTAAATGCATCTTTCAGCCTACCAGTGCATATGAAAGGCATCCTTGTGTGCGTACAGCGTACAATGAGAAAACAACCGCAGCCAAAAAGGCTTATTGATCCCACACTTTCATAGTCATGTCATCATAAAACACTATGCTGACTCTAACACGAAGCGAGCCGGAGCAGAACTACATAACACAGCATGCATTTCACATTCTAGTGCTTACATTCAGAAGGATGTCAACAAAAGCATTGACTGCGCTTGATGTAAATGCTAACGCAGGAAAAATGCATGATATGAAAACATGCAGGGGTGGGGAGTTAGGGGGGCAAAGGATGGCAAAATCAATGCAATCTTTCAATGGAGACCACAAGCCAAAGAAAAGGCCAATGGGTGTAGAGCATATGGTAGGGCGCCACACAAAATCTCAGAAGCACAAAGAAGAGAAAGCAATCTGTGGGCATTAATGGCATTGATCTGTTAACTGTGCAACGCTGTGTTAAACGCACGACGCATGAGGGAATTAGAGGTGTGACGAGAATGCGGAATGCCTAAACCTTGATAATCACCATTGATTTTCATGCTGAACTACAGATTTATTTGTGTTCATCTCAGCCTAGACCAACAAAGACAAAGCATTCAGCAGAAAGGAACCCGTAGTGAAATCGTACCGTGATAAAAACCAACTGTTAATATTCCATCACACTCTTTGTTATGACAAAGCATAGAGGACCGAGCTGCATAATATATTGTTTGTAGATTGGTCTCGATATTGGCACTTGCAGCAGGCTGCAATATGTAAAAAAGCCCTCTAACCAATCGCAATCAGTTTTTACTGTGTGCTTCAAGCTTCCTGACCAATCCAGAATAGTGTTACTGTGGGTGTTTTAATGAATCATATATAAATCAAACACCTATTCATGTTATTATGGATGGTATGACAAAAATGAATGGTGTGTCTTCCCAGTATTAGTGTTTGTTGGTCTTCGTTTCTCTGTTTACATTTCAAAAGTTTTATCTTTTCTATGCTGCAAAGTTTTTATCCTAAAATAAATTTTATCAGTGAAGACCTTTAGAGAGAACAGTTATTATTCAAATATGGGAATTGCTAAAGCTACACTATGTATGGTTTGGGGATTTGGCGACCTCCGTGGTGGAAATGTGTAATTGCACGCAACGTGTGGAAGAACATTTTGTAACGTGGGCTGAGCTTTGGTCCCCTTCCCCAAGCAGATGAATCTGATGATTGCGAGTTCATTGAAAGAGTATTCAAAGACAACTCGGTCAAAACTACTTTTTAGGAATTTGCATGTGAAAGTAAAAATGTGCAACATGGCCTGAAAACTCTGACCCAACACCTCATAGCAGCGCATATTGTATCGTGTTTTAAAAAAAATGTACACAGTGCAGCTTTAATAAAAAATCATGTATCGCTGGTTCAGTTGGTTTAGTTCATAGGTTAAATTACCCCAAATAGGACAATGTTGTTGATAATGTAGGCTACAATAAAATTTGCAGCTTTTGCAATTTGAAAATTGCACTCTTTCAAAATGTAATTTCCAAATGAAAATAATTCATTTCTAGTTTATGCTTCAGATACGTGCAATAGATTTGTGTT